TGCAAGTAAACGACAGTCAATTTCTGATGTCGCTGCATGTTATGTGTGGATAATTTACGCACTGGTCCCACAAACCTGATGAACAGCATTCAAGTAAATGTCTTACTGCAGCAGAAGTGTAGTTTGCATGCAACAGAGAATATATACACATTAAAAAGAAAAGAAAAATGAACATGCTTAATTTAATCAAACATCATTTTGTTTGATAGAGGACCACCCTCACTGCACAAATGGACAACTCCATAAGTGCACCAATCTTCTCACATAGATCCTTTAAGAAGACATAGCCTGGCATCATTAGGAACTTTATTAAAGGGAGGCTGGAAAAGTCTATGTCAAATACAACTGAACTTTATTAAAGGGAGGCTGGAAAGGTCTATGTCTAATACAACTGAACTTTATTAAAGGGAGGCTGGAAAAGTCTACGTCTAATACAACTGAACTTTATTAAAGGGAGGCTGGAAAAGTCTATGTCTAATACAACTGAACTTTATTAAAGGGAGGCTGGAAAAGTCTATGTCAAATACAACTGAACTTTATTAAAGGGAGGCTGGAAAGGTCTATGTCTAATACAACTGAACTTTATTAAAGGGAGGCTGGAAAAGTCTATGTCTAATACAACTGAAGTCACAATAAAGAGGATACAGGTGTACCTGATTTTCCTTGAAAACGCATGAAAGCTTTGTCTCTCTCTTATACATATATTGCAGAGACAAGCACAAATATAATTAAGGACAATGGATAAATGGTCCTCCATATATATAAACAGAACAGTAGATAAATGGAAATATTTTTACAAGGAGGAACTAAAAATAAATGTCTATTAGTTCACAAATAAAATAAAATTGAAAGTTAGTATTCCACTTTGCACATTTTCAAAGTAGAACTAACAGCCACTGCACTATATAAACTATTCTTAACAATTTAAAACTGACATTAACATTACAACCTGCACCTTCCTAATCATTACCCACACACAGGGTGACCTTCAGGACGGTTTCATATATTAGGTAGGCCCACATGGTCGTCCCATGAACACTCAACAACAACAAAATCCCAGTGTTCCAATCGACTTTGAGTACTGACGGGACCATCTGGGCCTACTTTGAAAAAAAAAAAGATACTGTCCCGATGAAAATGAGACTTATGGCCACCCTATCCAAACAGGACTGCAGGTTACACCACACTGGGGTTGCCACAGCAGGTGCTCTAGTTATAACTTCGTTTGAGACTGAACAAGGTATCTGGAATTTGCCCTGTTGGTCTGCTACCCAGATTGATATTTGTAATCTCAGGGTGTTGAATCTTCAGGTAGCAACTCAAGACACAGAGAAAGACAAAAAAAAATGTGTGTGTTTATGAAAGGATATCAACATTTTAAAATAAGAACTGAAGGAGAGTGTCTGTACCTACATGTGAATAATGTAAGTTAGAAATTAAAACACTGAAATGCAATTAAAATGAAACTAAAATGAAACTGAACCTTAAATTCAAAGTGGTCTCTAACAAACAAAAACAAATGTATTAAAAGAACAATTGCTTTGGGAAAGTCCAAATTGGTGACTGACTGCAAATGATAAAACTTACAAATTCAGTACTTTAAAACAGCAACTACAAATACAAATGGCAAACTAAATGAGTCTGTACACAGCAGCAATATGACTCTTTGTCAATAATGACAATGATTAGAGATTCATATTTTTGTACTGCTGCAGATTTTACTTAAAAAAAATTTTCTTTATGAAAAAGGTCAATCCAAACCAGAGGCAGAACTAGTCAGCTTCATTATACCACAATCATGATGAAATGAACATTCACCTATAAAGCCTTCATCAGCACACAACACAAACAGACAATGATACAATTACAAACAATACATAAACTCACTTATTTTTATGGTGATTTCTGTCACCAAATCTCCACAACAGACCTGAAAAGTAGAAGCCCTGTGCATGCGTACAGTTGCTATATAGATACTGGTCAGGAACTGACCTGAAAAAGTGGGACAGATAGGCAGGCGAGAGATTACAGCAAGGGAAAAAAAACTCAAAAAGTTTTTAAAAGATAAAATCTGTGTTGAACATTAAGATCTTGATTCTACAAAACACTTGCAGTCTCTTCCAATCTAATGGCTATACAATAGAAACATTTGTACAGCAACTACACAACATTGGTTAAGGTTGGCAGAAGACTATTATTCCCTACATGAGAAAAAAAAAACATGCAACCTTTTTTGCAAGACCTGTATATCTCCACGACCAGTTTATTATTCTATTTGTAACAGTACAAAAGATATAATTATCGTAACATAACATTTATGCAATAATATATTTTTTTTAAAGGAGTCCTAACTATAGGAATCTACCTTTCTCTAATAGCCGATGGCTACTCCTTTTCATTATCACTGACTAGTACAAGAGACTTTACCAATTTAAAAAATACTGTCAGCTCATAATTGCGTTGATGTCTCACATAATATACTCCCAAGAGGTTGAGCAAGGAGGAGGGGGTACACAAGTTTTTATTTTTATTTTAATGATAATGTAAAGACAAATATTATCATACTGTCTGCATTTGAATCAAAGTAAATTACTGAATTATGTTTTTTTTAAAGTTATGATTTCTATTTATATATGAAATAAAAATTAAATGTAAAGCAGTTCAACATTTTTTTTTTTGGTGAGTAAATTTTATCAGGTGAAATTTTTTTTTAAAGGCATTACATTAGGAAAAAGAAATGGCAGTGTTAAGTTGTTAGATATAAGTTTCGATATCAGACACAATAGACCAAGCCAAATAAGTATTATATAGACAGACAGAAATACGGTTACATGTTATGGGAAACACCACTTTACATTTTAAAGAGAAATGGACTATGGGATGTGGGACTTCATTTCTGGTAAGTAAGGAGAAAAAGAGTAAAATCTGCTAGATTGCTTTCATGAAGCTGTACAAGTGAAAACATTTGTCACGAGATACATTTGGCTTTATGAACTGCCTACCAAATGTATTGGTTTTAAAGAGATTATTTGTGCAAGCCAGAAACAAAAAGTTAGCTACCACTATTTACTAAAAGTTAATACAGTTCATTAATATGTTACAACCTAAAAAAAACATTAAACAAAAAGTAAATAACAGTCTACTGATGGTATATGACATACTGCATACCCCCCCCCCCTCCAACTAATATGTTACTTAAAAATCCCATATGAAACACTTGGATTTATAATTAATAAAAATTACCTGTACAAGTCATCTACTCGACAAAGACAGTGATTCAGTTTACAGCACAACAGTTTACAAATATCGCTCTTAATCCTGACAAAGAACATACACTACACTGCATATGGTGTTATACAAATTTATCCATGTGTTGCATCATCCTCAACAAAGTCCTCAGCCTCTTCCCTGGACACACATTCCACGTGGCTGACCTATAGAGTCCACGAATAAAGGTTAATATTATTACAGACACTAAATAGTCACATTTAAATAAAAGCAAGAAACAGAATGTTAAATTGCCCCATAGCCCTGAACCAGTAATAGAGAAAGTGAAGATAGGAGATTTAAATTACATGCTCTCTCTCAAACACATACATACATACACGAGAGAGAGAGAGAGAGAGAGAGAGAGAGAGAGAGAGAGAGAGAGAGAGAGAGAGAGAGAGAGAGAGAGAGAGAGAGAGAGAGAGAGAGAGAGAGAGGAAGGAGAGAGAGAGAGGGGGGGGGGGGAGGGGGAGGGAGAGAGACAGATAGAGAGGGGAGAGAGAGGGGGGGGGGACATAGAGAGAGAGGGGGAGAGAGAGACAGAGAGATGGGGGAGAGAGAGAGAGGGAGGGAGGGAGAGAGAGAGAGGGGGGGAGAGACAGAGACAGAGAGAGAGAGACAGACAGAAAGAGAGGGGAGAGAGAGAGACAGAGAGAGAGAGAAAGAGAGGGAGAGAGAGACAGAGAGAGAGAGCGGGGGAGAGAGACAGAGAGAGAGAAGAGACAGATAGAGAGAGGAGACAGAGGGAGGGGGAGAGAGAGAGAGGGAGGGAGGGGAGAGAGATAGGGGGGAGAGAGAGATAGGGGGGAGAGAGAGACAGAGAGAGAGAGAGAAAGAGAGAGAGAGAGAGAAAGAGAGAGTTGAAACCTATCCAGATGATAATGTTCCTTTGAGCTATAGAGGCAAGTGGATTAGCAGACCATGGTGATAACAAGCCTAGCTGGCAAGACCAGGTTACATTTAGATAGAAGAACCTTCTACATACATGCACATGAGATTTCAGGATCGATGAATGAGACACATTTTTTTCTCAGACGCTCAGCTGTCAACTTGTCTGCAACCATCACTTTTCTCCTCTGTCCCTATTCTCTTCTTAATGTCCTTCGTCCATGCAATATGATCGATAGCACCCTGTTTCTGTGAACCCACCTCGACACGGGTTTCATTCACATCTCGCTTGCATAAATCTTTAGAGGCAGACCCCATTTACTACTCATTAATAATTCTCGTTCAGAACAGCCTTTGAGATTCTGTCAGCTAAGTCCTCCATGTAATCCCTCCCCCAAGTATTCTTCATCGACACTGCATGTCAGCTATTTAACTATTTCTCCTGTAAATATCTGTAGAAGGTTAGGACACAAACAATGGCATACTTAATATCAGAAAATTTTAAAGTGCCATATAGGTAAAAAGATCTGTACTCATGCCTTGACAAAAGCATTTGGCAGAAATATGAACAATCAAAGTATTAGAATATAAAACTTGTATGGCAGAGAGGGAAAAGATATGTATGTGTGTGATGTTGAGGAGGGAGAGAGAAATGGATGTTTATGTGTAGAGGGGAAATGGAGAGAGAGGGGAGGGAGGGGAGAGAGAGAGAGACAGAAAAAGAGTGATAGAGGGAGGGAGAAGGGGAGAGAGAGAGAGAGAGAGAGAGAGAGAGAGAGAGAAGAGAGAGAGAGAAAGAGAGGGGGGGGACAAATCAGCTGTTTGACATATCCCAACAGATGTACCTTATTCCTAAACTTGACTCCATAAAACTTGTCTGCATGTTCCAGCAACTCTGGCCTGAAGGTTGTGGTGATAAACTGAGCTTCCTGGGCTAGCTCGTGGATCATGTCTGGAAAACACCCAAAAACAGATCAAGACTGCACTGAACTTAACTGACAGCAACACACTGTTAGGCCATTTCTGAATTTCACTTAGCACAACAAATGCTGTAATTACAGACACGTGAAACGTGACAGCACTTAACAGTACTTAATAAATCAGTCATAAATATAGCTAGCTCTTTATTACAATCAGTGAACTCTTAAGACACCTACTGCCATGTATACTATGGATAGCACTGTCAAGACATTCAACCTGATTACTCATGAGTTTAGTCTATAACCAGTATTTTATATTTATGTTAATTTAGTCTGGTCCCTTTTTGTTTTAGGATTTTAAAATCTTGTCACTTGGGCTTTTGGCATGTAAATATTGCTGATTATATCAAATCAGAACAATATAATTTCTTGGTTCTGGTAAAGCTTGTTCATTCATCTGGTAAAACAAGATACATTAGTTTGCTGCTTTACAAGATGTTCGTAATGCCAGGTTCAATCCCAGCTGTGGGCTATTTGGCAGCAGAACGTCTTGTGTTAGTTTCACCAGTGATACCGGGAGCTGACCATTCAGGAAGCAATGGCAAACTACTGAATGTAAAAAAGTTGCCTAGAAAAACCATAATAGCCAACAACAAAATTGCTGGGGTTGGTTCTGCATCGTCCTGCAGAGGATACGCAACCAGCTGTTTACAAGATGAAATTAAGCATTGTCAATGTTCAAGGTAATACAAATTTACTAATTATCTGCTCATGCTAGTTCTCATTAAAAACTGTTGACTGCTAGCAGTTCACAAGGGAGTTTACCAATAACAGTTCTGAGTGCAGAATTTATAAACTGTAGTGGAGCTGTACCTGTACAATAAACCATCATTATTATTATGTTCCCTACTGATATGCGTAGGTGACTGTATTTCATTATACACAACATGACCACTAGAATCAAGAATCAGGCCAGTGCCTCCCCCATCCCTGTGGCTCCAGGCCATCCAGATATTAATCTTTACATTTCTTCACCCCCTCCCTAATCAAACCAGCCAGCTGCCACCAAGTAATTGAATCCACTCCTGTCACCAAGTACTTTAATCCATTCTTCTCACACCTCTAAAAATCACCCACCATCCATGATCACCATAATCATGAATCAGGTGAGTGTGGCTCCAGGACATCCATACATTTATCTGTATTCTTTACATTTCTCTTGCTAGTCTCCCCCCCCCCCCCCCCCACCCCCACATCAACCTGACCAGTCGTCCTCAAGCACTCTAATTCAAAACATGATCACAAAAACAAACAAAAAAACTTGACATTTCATTCGTCTAATCAGTTTTCAGTAAAGAAATAGCTGATCGAGTGATTAGAGCACCAGACACTCATGCAGGAGACCCATTCGATCCTTAAGGGTTTAGGATTTCTTTTTCTGTCAGGGGCAACAATAGAAATCCAAGCCTGCGTAAGTCGTGGCTACTGCTTAGGCTAACGATGGCCCCATGTGTTAAACCGCCCTAAAAGTGGTAAATACGGGCAGTAAAGACAGTCTAGTTTTCTCAAGACGTACAATATTTTTTTTTAAAGTCATGACTCCACAATTATTTTTATTACACACTAGCTGTACCCAGCCACGCGTTGCTGTGGCATAGTTTGGCTAAATGGAAATGAAAGAAAATAGAAATCGCAGGTGTCTAATACAATCATTGTCTGCTCAGATATAGAGATAGTCTTTGGTCCCCCCCCCCCACCCCGACCCCCCCCCCCCCAACTAAATCCACCTACTACCCTCTCCCTCATCAAAGGTTTTTGGAAAAGAAAGACAATGGAAATCGCACCTGTCTAATATAGTTAATGTCGCAATCATTCTCTGCACATTTATAGAGAGATAGTCTGGTTTTCCAACTTTAGAACACGCACAATATAATTGTGTTTTTTATATTAGTGGTCGTTTAAATGGTGCTATTAGCACAGTAACAAAAGTGGTTATTTGGTTATCACATGCTTAAGCTGTTTGTATTTTTATAGGAGACGTAAGTAAAGCTACTACTGTACTTGTAAATAACAAAGTAAGTCGTACAAAAATTAGAATAAGCGAAGGTAGCGTTAGTAAAAAATAAACAAATTAAGTAAGTAATGAGAACTTGAAAATCACGTGTAAAGCTCTTCAAGTTCTCTTAAATTTCAGTCATTACCCTCTCCCCTCCCCTCTTCCACCGACTACTGCTGCTCTCTCCCTCTTCGAAGGATTGAAAAATCATCACCTGGCGATATTCTTTTTGTTGTAACTGACATTGACATCCCTGTCCATCCGGACTAAATTGGGAGCAGGAATTGTAATAGGTAGTGAATGGGGCTAATGTAATTTACTGCATCATCCTTCAAGTACCAGTACAACTACTACCACGACCACCACCACAGTAGCTAAAATAATGTCACTGCTATCTGTTTTACCATCGGAGTAGACAGGGAGTCGTGAGCCAGAAGATTTGGCGCCGCATGGCTAGTGCTGTCGCCACGGACTGGTCAGGTTAGGATGTATAATTTCGCTCCCCGACAGAAGAATGCATTAACCTTACCGGCGGTCTTCACATGAGAGCACAACGGTGTAACCGCCCAACCACAACTACTACTACTGCTACTTTGAGTGGGTAAAGCAGTTACTGTGACTTAAAGCTCTCTCAGTAATCACAATTCCCCCCCCCCCCCCCCCAAATTCACCGACTACTCTTTCCCTCATCGAAGTAGTTGAGAGGGAAAAAAAAACAATTGAAAAGCAATTAAAACAGGAAAAATACACCAGAATTAGGAAATGAACGCTATGGTAAACAGCACAGCTTAAAATTCCAACACAGATGAAATAATTAAATCTAAATGAAAATAAATGGAAAGCTATGAAATTTCAGCGTAACCATGCAATCGAAAAGTTTAAAATGAAATCATAAGTATGTGAAATAGTCAAATTTATCGGCTACTTTTCAACTCATCGAGGAGGTGAAAAAAAAAAAACTTGGCTGCAATATAGGCGCATGCGCAATTACTAACGTGGCTATAATTAGAAATCACTAAAATTATAAATATTAGTTTCGAATATTATGGCTTAAATTGTGGTCATCTATCTCTAACAGTGACAGGTTGAATTTCAAACCATGATGGTTCAACATCCGGTATCAAAACAAACATAACCTGAAAATTTCAGCTAAATCGGTTCAGTAGTTTCCGAGTCTATAGGGGGCAAACAAACACACAAACATTGATTTTTAAATATATAGATAAACAGGAACTACTGACATAATATTCTCCTTTTTCAGGTTCACCAGCTATAAACTCTGGTAAAAAGTTTTGGTTGTTCATCCACTTCTGGACTTTGATCTTGCTTCAGAACCTGAGTTCTGCGTGCATTAACGTTTTACAAATCTGGCTCATTTTTTATTCAGACTGTTGGTTCCTCGTCTCCTAGGCAGATGCACTCCTTCACTCTGAAGGAAACATCCCTAATTAGTCGACTCTTACGTCATGCTTATGTGTGTGTGTATTCTTGTTCCTTCCACAATGGGGCTCTGGAACCTACACAGAGATATTGAGTAAACTGTAACAGAAATGTGTCTGCACAATTCAAAAATGCAATTTAAAAATTTTTTTTAAAAGGTTCCAGTTTCTCACCTGCCACTGCCTTCCTGTGTGAGGAATCCAAAGCTTGGTCTATCTCATCAAACAGGTAGAAGGGGGCAGGGTCACATTTCTGGATAGCAAAAATCAGAGTCAAGGCCACCAAAGACTTCTGACCCCCAGAAAGCTGCTGCATGTCTCTCATCTCAGCCTTGTTGCCAGTGAAGGACACCTGGATTTGCAGGAATTATAACAGTACAGATAATAGTTTTTAAAATAAACTCTCAAAAGCATAAACAATTTCCAGGAAAAGCCGGGGCTTTTTTTCTTTTCTTTTTCTGGCAGTAAGACAGCAACTCCGACACCTTTTTACAACATTATTGTTACAGGATTACTGTAATAGACATTTTGAGTATGGCCATTTTTCCTAGGGGAGAAAAAAGCCCTGAGAACACCTATTTTCAAATTACTCATGTATCTGATGTCAGAACTTCCCCCTCTCTCTCTCATTACCACTAGGTCAAATGTGACTAGAGTGGCCCAGAATATCAGCATACATGTTATAATGGTGACTTCACAATGTAAGAGACTGTTAGAGACAAGACTGCAGGAGCATACTGGCACTTAAGTTCTTTACTGAATGGAAATGGGAGCATGATTCAAATGATCAACTCACCTTGATGCCCACACCTGTAAACTGTTCAACAAGTGGGATTTCTGCCTCTGCACCCTGCGGAGATAACAAGTTTATTTACATCTTCTAAATACACATATTATGAGTGAGCGTATGTGTGTGTTCAGAAAGGGGAGGAAGGGAGACAGACAGAGAGAAATGAGACAGAGCAAGGGGACAGAGGAGGAGAGAGAGAAAAAGAGGGAGGGAGGGAAGGAGAGAGAGAGAGAGAGAGAAAGAGAGAGAGAGAACGAACGAACGAACAAACTTTATTTTCAAAGGGTTAAGAATTAGGCACGCAGGCCCGTCTAACATTCTGCCCTTCCACTCCGCTCCTTTCATACAATGCTTTCATTTTTACCTCATTTCATAGTTAATAATAATAATAATAATAAAAAGAGGAATGCACAATTAAAAATTTGAGAAATATAGAAAAGAAACAGAAGAACAAAAAAGAGAAGAAAAAAAATTACAATATCTAAGTCTTAATTACAAATGCTGGAATGTGCTCTAATTTATACTGACATTACTTGAACGTTTTAAAGAGTATAATAATAAGCCTGTTCCAAAAATGATGTAAGTCTTACAGGCTGCATAATATAAACATCATCAAAACCAATAAAATATTAGTTACAAATATTGGAATGCATTCGACTGACATCTTCAGTTTTGCTAGTTGGTATACCTTTGTAGCAGTTTGCTTAATAAGTGTTTGCACATGGGAGTTGAAGGTAAGATTTCCATCGATGATCAAGCCTAAAGTTTTGTGCTCAGTTACACTTTCTACTGGTGTGTTACCTAGGTAGAGTTGAAGGGTTCTATGAGAGTTTAAAGTGCACAGTTTTTGTCTTGTTGTTATTAAGAGAGAGAGAGAGACAGAGGGTGTTAGTGAGACAGAGAAAGAAAAAGGAGAAGGAGAAGAAGCAGAAGTAGAAGAAGAAGAAGAAATATTTAAAACAGAAGATTTCTCAAGACTTTCAAATAACATTTAAATAGTTTTGTTAATTTACTGTAGCACAATGGCTACATGATTTGCCAGATAGCTCAGTGGTGTTGTTGCCTTATAGCTCAGTGGTGTTGTGGTTAAAACCTCCTTCAAGCTGGAATTATTTTAAAATTGGTCTGGGCACCCAGATCAACACAGCCCAAAATGGATAGCAAAAAATGTTATAGAGATACAAAGCTGGCATGGTACTGAATAACATCACCCATGTAGTGTGAGTGGAATACAGAAACATGCCCATCCTTATGTGAGTTCAGGAGCCCTATTGTGGGGAAAACAAGAATAGACCTTCTGCCTCCCCAACAAGCATGTCCTAAGAGTTGACTTATAATTCGGGGCTTTCTCTGAAGTCGGAGTGCATCTGCCTCATAAGCAAAGAACCAACAATCTGCGTACAAAAAAGTCAAACATGTAAAATGGATTGGCAGGCAACACTCAAGTTCTGGTTAAAGACTAGTCTAGAAGCGGACGAACAACAAAAACTTTCCGCTGGAGCTACAGCAGATGAACGTGAAGAAGACGAAACATGGAACTAGCCCCTTTTACCCACTACATTTCATGACATGGAAAAGTCCTTTAAGATATACATCTTGATGTTCTCAATCTGAAATATAGCTCTGCTACAATCAACCTTATATCATTTGCAGTCTAGCACCAATATAATCTTCTTCCTTAGCATTCAGGGCCTTTGAGGTTCACTGCTACAGATATCACCCACCTCCATTCATCTCTGTGACTGGCCTTCTCCTTCCTGTTGGTGACTTCAAACATCTGTAGATCTGTATATTATCTCTCAAACCATTTTCTTGGTCTATATAATCACTTGCAGAATATTTAACATTCACTTTAACAATCTTCATTTTGTAACTTCAATGTGCCCAGCACATTTGCCCTTCGCTCTTATTTTGTTTGGACAGTGTCTGATAGACTCCACTTTGTAAAGTTTTTTAACAGATTCAATTTAGGGAAGTTTCTGTTTGCCTCTACTAGATTCTAATTTTAGGACTCTCTTAGTTGTGTTTAGTATGAGGACATTTCACAAACAGATCGCAACATCCATCATGAAACGTCATTACCATCATATCTGACTATCAATTATCATTACTTACATCTCCTTCTATCTCTCCTTTCTTCATGACCAGGACTCCATGTCCTTGTGGTACTAGTTTCTTGAAGATCTCACTGAAGTATCGTGACACCTTCAGAAACAAATATGCAAGTTACAAATGCTAATAATCTTATAATATCACACAGTATAAACAATAAACAAAATGTCATAATTTTACACAAAACTTTGCCCGCAGTATTTTCCTCACAGTTTAGCAGAATTAACTACATAAATGCACTATCATTCTAATGTGATTTGTTAATTTAATCATAAAATTCTGACTCAATGAAGTGATTTAAAAACGTCTAAATGATAACAGTGAATGACTAGGAAGGTCTAAGTCATACAACATGACTTGGATTAGTTGAAGAAATTCAACTGTAATCAACTCAGAAAGCTTACAAAAAAGTGTTGGTGATGATTAAATCAGTGTAAGTGTTAAAGCCGTTTTTTGGGGGGCTACATAATGAAAGCAATTTTAAAAAAAAAGGGCGGGGGGGGGGGGGGGAAATGGGGGGGGGGGGGGGGCAGACACCTGGAGCCTTGGCAAGTATGTCACAAAAAGTGACAAATTAAAGATTTGCTGAAATCAGTATGGGCTGAAAGAAACAGATATCACAGTTTAGCTGTAAGCCACGCTACAATGTGCCAACCACGCCATTAAGGGCAAATGCAGACGAAAAAGAAGAAGGCCATACAGTATGGCATATTCACGGCAAACTTACAGAGTTAAACTGTTTAACATATAATCAAGAAGGCTAAGACCCAATGAGACTGACAGCACAAGATATGGTAGGTGCACACAGCACAGGTATGGTAGGTGCAGACGGCACAGGTATTGTAGGTGCAGACAGCACAGGTATGGTAGGTGCAGACAGCACAGGTATTGTAGGTGCAGACGGCACAGGTATGGTAGGTGCAGACAGCACAGGTATTGTAGGTGCAGACGGCACAGATATGGTAGGTGCAAACAGCACGAATATGGTAGGTGCAGACGGCACAGGTATTGTAGGTGAAGACAGCACAGGTATGGTAGGTGCAGACGGCACAGGTATTGTAGGTGAAGACAGCACAGGTATTGTAGGTGCAGACGGCACAGGTATGGTAGGTGCAGACAACACAGATATGGTAGGTGCAGACGGCACAGATATGGTAGGTGCAGAGACATTGTACAGATATGGTAGGTGCAGACAGACGGCACAGTAGGTGCAGACAACACAGGTATGGCAGACAGCACAGATAGGTAGGTGCAGACAACACAGATATGGTAGGTGCAGACGGCACAGATATGGTAGGTGCAGACAGCACAGATATGGTAGGTGCAGACAGCACAGATATTGTAGGTGCAGACAGCACAGGTATGGTAGGTGCAGACAGCACAGATATTGTAGGTGCAGACAGCACAGGTATTGTAGGTGCAGACAGCACAGGTAAAGTAGGTGCAGACTGCACAGGTATTGTAGGTGCAGACAGCACAGGTATGGTAGGTGCAGACGGCACAGGTATTGTAGGTGCAGACGGCACAGGTATTGTAGGTGCAGACGGCACAGATATGGTAGGTGCAGACGGCACAGGTATGGTAGGTGCAGACGGCACAGGTATGGTAGGTGCAGACGGCACAGGTATGGTAGGTGCAGACAGCACAGATATTGTAGGTGCAGTCAACACAGGTATGGTAGGTGCAGACAGCACAGGTATGGTAGGTGCAGACGGCACAGATATGGTAGGTGCAGATAAAACAGGACAAGTAAATAACTCAGTAACGTAATGAGGAGGAAACAATAAATGTAAGAAAATAACTTTAATGACAAACCAATGTGTCTTTTCCTTTAGAATGTGCTCTCTGTCTTTTGAGAGACACATTTTAACTATTAGATTTACAAAAAGCATTGAACAAGGTGCGGAAAAAAGTTTCTGCTGAAAGCGAATAATAAGAATGTCAGTAACATAGTAACATGTAGAAATGGATACAATCATAACATGTAGAAATGGATACAATCATAACATGTAGAAATGGATACAATCATAACATGTAGAAATGGATACAATCATAACATGTAGAAATGGATACAATCATAATATGTAGAAATGGATTCACTCCTATTTATATATCAGGCCAGAGTTAGAGCGAATGACTATAAACACATACAGATACCCTTTCCAAATGTCACTATGTCACACTACGGACGCCAACATAATTTATTATTTACATCAGGGCTATTCAAGTGGGGGCACGAGGGCCAAATCTGGAATGCAGATCAGTGCAAGTTTTTTTGGATTAATGGTCTTCCTATGCTGGGGCTCAGGCCTCTGGCTCGTGACGATCTAAATTTTTTAATATTTTGGCCCCCGAGTCAATTTAGATGAACAGCCCTGATTTACATCAACCCTAATACAGCAACAGACAGGACAAGCTGTCATGAGTCGGTTGAGGGACTATAAAAGGAGGATAAACAGCAGAAAAAGAAGAGACAAAAATCAATAAACAAAACTTGTTTATTTTAATTATTAAACTATTTTTTTTTAAACAGGAGCTGACAAGGCAGCTAAAAGAAGGGGAGCATGGAGTCTTTCACTGGGAAATTCAACGACAACTATCTGTCAGGGTAAATACAACAGTGTTAACATGTACAGTACAGACCAGACAGTTACAGTACATAGCAGACACTTATCATAAATCTATAACAAACTCAATTATACAAAGGTATACATACCTGCTTGAATGTTAACTGTATTGCCTCATACTTTCTATGATCTAATGCATTCATAAGATCTATGATCGACTGGAAGAAATAAAAAAAGGAGAAAATGTTTACAGTGTCATAAAAGCAAACTGTAGACACATGTGATGCTTGTTTGCGTAATGAAAGCAAGAAATGATAATAAAAGAGACTCGTATGTGTCTGTCCACACATGAGCATATATGCTGAATATATATATATATATCTCTTATTCTTTTCTGTAAACTTCAGCAGAAAGTTCCGGCTGTTCGCCTAATTCTGGACTTGTGGTCTTCTTCCAGAATTTGAGTTCTGCGTGCATATCCAATTTACAGATCTGATTTATTTGTATGCAGACAGCTGTTTCCTTGCCTCTCAGGCAGACAGACTTTGACTTCGAAGGAAGGCCCCAATCAGTTGACTCTTACGACATGCTTGTTGGGCAGGCAATGGGTATATTCTTGTTGGCCCCAAAATGGGGCCCCGGAACCCACACAGGGATAATGAAATTGATGTGTAAAAACAACCAAGAAGACAGAATTTTTGGTTCTTTTGTGTACAAGACAGAGATTTTATTGGGGAAAAAGATAAACAGAGATCAGTGTAAATATGCATGTAATTAAAATGAATATTGTGATAAAAGACATTCTGACACACACAGAAGCAAAATAAAATTAAAGTGTACAAGTTTTCAGGTAGATAATTTAAGCATTATCATTCAACATAAACATGTGTTAATAAACGGTAAAATACCCTTTCCCATGACATACAGTATTTGCTGTTTATTTACTTATAAATCAGCACTTTGAGAGTAACTCGGGGGAAGTCAATATAACATAAGCCATCTTTACTTTCCTGAATACTGCATCCTAGTCATTTTAGGCTGGGTCAATCTGGGAGCAGAGGTCAGTTTAAAAAAAGAAAATCCCTGTCTTGTAAGAGAATCAAAGATATGACCAACAGGCTGACTAGCTTTTGGGTGATAGATATAGCGCTAATGCGGTTCCTATATTACAGAAGCAATATGCTAAATACATAACTATAACCAGTCACAATGAACATAAGTCACAGAATTTAGGATCACAATTACAGTCGTCTTTACTGTCTGTAATTACCACTTTTGAAGGCAGTGTAGGACAGGATGGTCTTGAGCCAGAGGATTTAAGGTCATGTGGCTATTGCAATCACCATAGACTGTACAGCTTAGGATATAAATTATACCATACATCCCAAATTAAATATGGTTACCAATAATATACAAAAACAAGTACAAAAATGTACATGTAAAAATACTGCTTCGAAATAAATGAGTGATATGGAAAAGAACATATGGTGAAACTATTTAATTACCTGTTGTGCTCTGTCTAACTCTTCCTTTCTCTTCATCAACTTTTCCTTCTGATCAGAGAAACTAACAAACTGGTCCAGTGCTTTCTTATTGACGTGACTGTAGCGTTTCAACTGCTGGTTGCAGCTTTCTAATTTCTTGAACAGCTGGACAAAGAAATAATAAAATAACATATTTTGGGCAAAACACACACAAATCTGCACAAATATATTAAAGGGACTTAATGTATAACACAGCATTACCGAATGTTTTGAGTTACAGCTCTTGCCTTCCCCATCATCGTCTGGCTAGTATTCATATTTTTTTTTTATTCATACGTGGCTCAGAGTTTTAACTGGCCAGACAGACATGTGCATTCTGGTAATCTGGTAATTTTAATTTCAGCTTCATAGCAAACGGGTCACCCCATCATTGCTCCGCTTCTGTGCCAACGAAAAACACACAGAATATTTATCACAGCCCCTTGTGGAAAGACTGACAAACTGCTCTCTCAGCAAATCTAGCATACACGGGACGGTTTCAGAAAGAGATGCATACTTTGTGGTAGGGTAACATCGCTTGAACAATTTATTCTGCAAGCCACCAGGGGTTGCATTCACATTTTCTAGGTTCTAACAATAGTAATACACTAGCGATGACTAATAATAATCATTAACAGCTCAGCCAATACATACATAAATCAGTGTAGACAGAAAGAGAGAAATGGAGAGAGAGAGAGGGATCACCGCGTAACTAATTACAGCAAATGTATAGCGTTCATTGAGTCTTCTGTTTCAATATCCAAACGTGCTTGTTGTCAGCCATACAGTTTTTGCGTGCATCGATCAGGGCCTGAGAACAGCAAATCAAGTGCTGTGTCTCTACGTTCCTTTCTAGGTGGTCACGTGGTCACAGATGGAACTGTTGTAGCAGGGTAGAGCCGTGTGAACTTGAATCCTGCAGGTAAATTAGGTGCTTAGAGAATGTGGTGTTCTCAAGTGTATCTGGTGTAGCCTGATGAGATGTCATCGCGAAGAAAAGTGAAACATTTAAAAGAAGAGAATTCCGAGTGTCTGTAATTATTTCTTCTTACATTCGTGAACCCGCCTACGTCAGAACAAATGTTGCTCCATTAAATGGCGTCTAGGTGTCCGAGGGAACGGGGCGTATATTGGTTGATGACCTGGTGTAGCGTCGTTCAGTCAGTTTCGTATAAGATTTATTGTCCTCTCTCTGTCTCACACAGATAGTAGTGGGCAAGTCGCCTTTATAAGCCGTTAGAAATACTGTGCGTATAATGTTCTACATTGTATCATTAGAGAATGGGATGGCCCGGATGCCTATAGTTTAGTGTGTGAGTCCAGCTGCTAGCATTTTCCTTTCTCTTCTTTTCCCTAGCATTACTATCTTTTGAAAAAGCTCAGTCCTGTCAGAGTCACACATGTTTCGTTTGTATAGTGTGACACTTGCGGGACGTCACTTGGTTAGCCAGTGTTCTGGGTGGTGATTAATCTCAGTGTCGCGGACAAAACGCCCACTGACCTTTGCATCCGTGGTTCATGTGTCTGTATCATCGGCATATTTCCGCTCAAAATAAGTTTGAGAATGCTACAAAAACCACATTTGCATGCAATCATGACATGTAATTGCGTGAAACATATTTCACTGCACGTTCAAAGGAATAACGAATACAACGATAGTAAAAACATCGCTAGTTCACTGGCACAATTAGAATGAAAAATCAAAATAGTAAGAGCTAGGAAAAAACACGTCCTCTCAGTAGGGAGGCGGCCCTAACAAGTGCATTCAATTAAGGTATTGACTTTATCTTGTTTGTAAATGTAACACTGACTATTCATGCCATGTGCTGGTGAAGGCTTTCTAGCCACAACAAACACTTGTTGCTTGTGACTTTGATAATGTGAAGCTGACTAGTTCTTCCTTTTGTTTGATTTGACCCCCCCCCCCCCCCCTCCTTCTCTCTCTCCCTCTCTCACACACACACACGTGTGTGCAAGTCTGGAAGGCAATCCTTTTTACCCCCCTGATCCTAATATTTCTAAATTACATTTTCAATTATATTCAAGTTCTTCAGTGTGACTTTCAAAATGTAGGGGGTGAATGGGAGACCTTTGAAAATAAGAAGCATCTGCAAGTCTTAGCTACTGCAAACCACTGCAACTAATGGATGAACTCCATCATAAGTTATCTTATATCCACCTCATCTAATTTATGACCACAGAGCGACTAACTGTGCCAGTTCTATGAACATATCTTCAACTTGTAACATAAATATTTATTCTGTCCAAGAACCTATCATAAAACTATGATACAGACATTTCTTTTTTTTCTTCTACCTTTCATTCATCAATGGAGAATAGGATCTCAACCAACTCAAGCCAGGTTGTTCTTCTACCCTTTTGCTTTCATGTTCATCGCATTTCCTCCTTATCTTTTCACTTTATTCCCCACTCTCTCTCTCTCTCTCTTCTCCATGTGTTTTTTGTATGTCTGCCTTTCCCTTTGACCCTCTGGTCCAGTGCAAGGACATTTAGTAACATTGTTATCAGGTTTTTTTTTAAAGTGTGGGTAAAGATATTTTTTCACTGTAAATACAATTATTATTATTTTTTAATATATCACTTCACCATATATTTTCAACCAGTCATACATTTTTTCTTCTCCTACAGCATTCTAAGGCCTTGAGATTCACTGCTGCAGATTATCACCCACCTCCATTCCTCTCTGTCACTGCCCTTCTCTTTCCAGTTGGTGACTCCCAAGTATTTGCAGGTCTTCTTGTAATTTATCTCTCCAATGTCTTCTTAGTCTGTCTCATGGTCTTCACCAATTCAACTCTTCTATCTATCCAAATTCGAGGCTCAGACATCTGTTCCATGACAAAATGAGATTATTATAAAGGTGGGGGTGCTGGCCACTAGGCTTCAACTCCCAAACGAGAGGATCAAGATGTCCCCGTTTTTTTCTCTACCCTTTTACCTGTCAAACAAACGCTTTAAGGACACCTTGAAGTCCTCAATTAAAGCATTCGGGATGAATGACACCAATTGGGAGGCTGCCTCTCAAAACCGAAATGCATGGCATGCAACTAAACACAAGGGCGCAACTACATGTGAAGCAAACAGAACAGCAAGATTGATTAAGAAAAGGATGGATAGAAAGACAACTGCAGGAGATCCCCTCCCTGGCACAGCACTCATTCCGTCCTCACTGTCCAAGAACTTTTTGGGCCCGCATCGACCTCATCAGTCATCTTCGTACTCATTCTTGATGAAAAAGAGTGGTCATCACCATCTTGATGGACAGCACACACACACACACACCTGTACAGCTTGGGAGACCCTACTGGTAGATATGGTACTGCCAGCATAACTCTCAGAGAATAATTCTTTCAAGGAAAATTAATATGGTTTTCCTAGGACTGCATATCTAAATTTATGAACTATAAGTAATTTTCTACATATTATTAGCTCACACCAGACTTCAGATCCAATATAGTGGATAGGCCAGCTTACTGTTTTTAGTCACAGCAAGTTATTTGCTTCTGGCAATGTTTAGCCATTGCACTCCCCCCATATGTGGAATGAAAGTACACAATTCCATTACCTAGTTACTGAGATGAATGTACAGTGTGACACTGTGAGCTGTGGACTTAATCTGGAATGCTTTTCGGTTGTGCCCAATGTGGTCTGCACTCTGCGCTGCAGATAAGTGTGATTACCCAATTACATGATTAGATCACACAAAATAACGCCTGCACCAAGAAATTCAAAATGACCCCTTTTGACTTATATTGATATATTTTACTTTGCACTGGAAAAGGATAAATCTGTTAATATACTGAGATGAAATAAATAAAAACAGTACCTGTTTTAATGACATGTTTTGATATTTCTCAAAGGCATCTGATGGCAGTGATCTGAGATCTCTGATTTTTTTCATACATTCTTCTTTCTGCAATAACAATTTAGAACACCATAATTTAAGCCAGCAAACATTAATATTCATTAACAGCAAGTAAAGTTCCCATCTTGAAGCTTTGAGATACAATGGGCACATAGTGCTTGCTACCTCTGCATGTTTATAAACCAACTGGCCTTCATGCTAAACATATTTCCTTTCCACACAAAAAAATGGGGCCACATACCCACATGTGGCTGTAAGGCTGGACTATCTGCACCTTTTGGCTCAACATTCCTAGTTTCAGCAAACTCCTGCTTAGTTGCCTTGTACAACATGTCTGCTGGGGGGACACTGGGTCTATTTACATACACACACAAACTCAGCGGTAAATATCAATGAAATAAAGCATAGGACAATATAGCAGTAAATATAAACAAAATAAAGTAACAAACATAACTGTTGTAGTAGATTTAACTTCCATAAAACAGTTTAGAAGCAAATGTCGCTGAAATACAGAATACATAAATATTGCAGAAGATCTGAGCGAAAATTTAACAAATATTGTAGAAGACTCACATAAACTACAAAGGAACAATTTAGAAAAAAATGTTCTTGAAGCTCTGAGTGAACAACAACAGAAGCAAATATTGCTGAAACACAGCATACATACATTTGTAGAAGATCCAATGTGGATTTTTAGGCTCCAATTGTGGAGGGCTGGGTGTTAGACCCACTGCTTCCCTGATAAGTAAGCCGTAAAAGGCACATAATTAAGGTGTTTTGTTCGAAGTCGGAGTGCATCTGCCTGAGAGGTGAGGAATCAACAGCCTGCATTCACATGAGCCAGATCTGTTTAACGGATACGCACGCAAAAACACAAGTTCTGGAACAAGACCAAAGTCCAGAAGTGGATGAGTAACTAGAAGCTTTCTGTTGGAGTTAGCAGGTGAACAATAAGAAAAGGTGACATTGTTTCACTGAAATATAACACATGAATAGCAATCTATCTGATGTTACTATTACACAGGTGTGGAATTATAAAAATTTAACACATGAGGAACTGACAGTGATAAGAACAAAAGCAAGGAGAACGATAGTGTCTAGAAAATAAAATGTAACCGTAAACTACCATTTATACACACACACAACAACCTACCCACCTTTTTAATCAAGCAGCTTTGCTTCTGTGAAATTTTATCTAGCTCTTTGGCATCTTCTCCAATTTTCTCCTGCAAGTCTCGTTCTTTGCCCTGAAATTTAAAATGCAGTTTTTATACTGACTTACAATATAAATACCATAGAAATCTGTCTTTGAACATCATAAATAAGCACAGTGTCAATGGCGAATTCTACATTAAAATAAACCATTTTCATTTCATCATTTACATCTTCTTCTCCTATCTCATGTTGTGTGGTGTCAGTCCTCATGACTGCCCCCAGCCCTCTGTCTCAGGTACCTGGTTTACAGCTGAATTCGCACATTTCTTTTCCAAGGTATTTTTGTATGTGGTCTTTTGAAGTTGTAACAGGCATAAGTGGTGCTTGATGCGCAAACAATCACACCAAGTATATTCACAAAGATATAGTGTTTTTACATTTTTTTCTAGACCTTGTGAGAGGGGAGCCTGTAAAAGTAATGAAAATTTTTAACATTAGCAAAATTTATTGCATGGTAAATCCCCCCACCCCCCTCCCAACACAACCACACATGTTGCCAGGGCAAAATTGGGAATTAAAAATCTACCCAAAGTATTTCAGAATCCTCACTGGTGCAACGGAGTTCGTGCACTGCACTGAGATTCTTCAGACTCAGGCTTGAGTTAGAAGTAAAACGGAGCACTTATGGGTTTCGCAATAGACGGTTTAACCATTCTGTGGAGAAAGTCAGCCAGCTATTTGAAGAAGAAGAAGAAAGAACAGAAATTTACCCTCCACAATTCTAACTGTGTTTGCAACTGTTTTTGTTCCTTGTTGAGTCTTTCAATATTTGTGTCAGTTTCTGAAAAAAAAAAAAAAAAAAATAATAATAATACAAAATAAGAACATGTTTAAATTTTCTTTAACATTAATCTCCAAAGTGTTTTCACCCAAATAAAGTATTTGAAACCTATTAAACATCATCTAGTTTTAACACTTTCTTACTGTGACAATAGTTCATTTCTACCTCACATCAGATCTTCTCTAGATCAAATAAATTTGCATATTTTTACAATTTACTTGATGTAAAACTCTTTTGGCCACTTAAGTCTATGAAACCTGCTAAATACAATCCTAATGTTACAACTTCCTTGCTTTGATATTTCAGTCCATAACTATTGAGGAATATACAGAGGGATGAGAATGAACACTCACAGACTGAAGTGATGTGCAGTGAGAATGATCAGTTGACTAGCTAACTCTGATATTTCAAAACTATGTCGAGTCTGCCTGGACCATGCAAATATTTGACTTTATTCAATAACAATAATAATTAATAAGCATATGTTTGTAAGCATTTTGCGCACTTTGGAAGAGACATAACTATTTTTTCCCCTCTAACATCGGGATTTCAAATTAAGTGTCGAGAAAAATGTTCTATTCTAACATTAGCATATATCCTTTAAGGCTGTGGTCTCTAACCTAAGGAGGAAGAAGAGGGATTGTGGTGGGGGGGGGGGGGGGGGGGGGTTTTTAAGGATGGCATCAAGCAACTATGAAAGTCAGTGCATCTGTACTTACTTTAATCTGTTATCCTCACATTCTGTTTAAGATTAATTATAAATAAACCAGTTATTAATATTAAACAAAATGACAAGGACACTTTTGTTTTCATGAGCAGTTTGTATATCTACTATGTGTGTGTGTGCACGTACGCGTGTGTGTCTCTTTTTCTCACCATACACTCAAAAGGCTGGGGATGGGGGGGGGGGGGGGGGGGGGGGGGGGGGGAGGGTGGTGGAGGGGTGGGGGGGGGGGTCTTGCAATAAATTCAAAGGGGGAGCAACCTAAACAAGTTTGGAGACTACTGTTTTAAGGCATCAAAGAAGGCAAACTACAACAAAACAGTTGTAAACCATTAGGATATACAATATAAAAAAGATTGGTTAAGTATTTCAGTCATTATAAAAACCCTAGTCGTGGCCCGGGGGTGGGGGGTGTTTGAAGGCAAGTGTGCAAGAGGTAGCAATACAAGCAGTGGGCAAAATTTTCCATGCCAGAACACCTTGTGGGACAATTCTACTGCTTTTTATCGTTCACTGGCTGTAACTGGCCAGAAAGTTCTGGTTGTTTATCTAGCCCTAAACTTTGGTCTTGTTCCATAATTTGAGTTTTTCATGCACATCCGCTTGACACCCCTACCTTATCTGTATGCAGACTGTTGGTTCATCGCTTCTCATGCAGATGCACTCCTACTTTGACAGAAACAACCCTAATTAGTCACCTTTGACAACATGCTTGTTGGAGGAGGGGGCAGTGGGTCTGTTCTTAATTTCTCTAAAATAGGGCCCTGGATATGGGACCATTAATATGTTCAGTATTAAAAGAATTTCTTCAGTATTACAGGAATGTCTTCAGTATTACAAGAGGAACAACAAGAATAATTTACTTTCAGCTAGGCTTCACACAAACACATACCTGCAATACCGGCTTCAAGTTCAGCCATTCGTTTGTCTACCTCTATTTTGTCAACCTTGAAAGTACTCAGTCTCCTCTCTTGCTCCTCTAAGCTAACCTCCCTCAACTCTTGTTGAAGCCTCTCCCGTTTCTTTGTCAAGTTGTTATTTAAAATATTTTCTAGTTTGTTTTTCTCTGTTTCCAGCTGTTAAAAAATGAAAAGAATCTCAAATATTTAAATACAGAAGTATGACAGTGAATACTGTTAGAATAGTTAGCGTGAAATTTTTTTGGATCTTTTTTTATTTTTTATTTTTAAACTCTAATACTGGAATTTATGGGATAGAATAAACATTAAGATATAATACAATGTTTCAAAGAAAAAAAGATAACATTAAATGAACCCATGTTTAACAGATCAATGCTTAGAACACCAATGACAGATAAAAAGTATAAAGAAGATATTTTACACACACACAAAAACCAGGAAACTAATTCGCACAGAGAGCTGATCACTTGCATTAGCAGACAATCTACATTCTCAGTTCATGTCATGAGTAGGGGGAAAGTGGAGTACATCATGAAATCAAAAAAGCTGTAAAGGAAAAGAGGTATAGAAAGACCAAGAAAAAAAAGATTCTGGACAGTCCGGCACCATGGCATGGAAGAACATTTGTATCTTCTTCAGCCTTTTAAAAGGGGCACTGCTAGGCTGCATTTATTTACGTCCTTCGGCTCAACGTATCCGCTTTCAGTAAAAACCCCTGACTAGTCACCTTCTGTGACATGCCTGTAAGGGGCGGAAGTGGACCTATTCTTCTTCCCCCAAAGTGGGGTCCTGGAACCCACAAAGGGAACATTTGTATCAAAAAGTGACTGACAATACACAAGACAGAAGGCTCTGAACAGATATGATTTTCAACACTGCATGCCATAGTCTATAAGAAGAATCCATATGGTAAAAATATGGTGGCAGACATAAACAGATGTGGAGGTGGATAAAAGGCAGAGATCTGTTTGCGTGTTTGCATTCACTGGTTAAAAAGCCACTGTTCAGAAAGAAATTTTATACACAAATGTAAAATTGGACGGAGAATTCAATTATAACTAGCATTACCAGGACCAGTAATTTTTAAAGCCTAAAGCCAACCCTGAATACTTATCGCTATTTTCAATCAAAGTGATGTAACAGAAAAATCAGAGGACGTCCAGCTGTCGTAGACATGCGCTGTTAATCGGGTTCCTTCCCGCCGTTTTCAGCTTTTTATAGTGGGTGAAAATCACACCAATCGCAAAATTTCATGAGAGATAAGGACCCATCCCGAAACCCCAGCCGACATTTGCGAAGCAAGTTTTGAACGGTTTCCATGGTAACGGAAATTGCCAAAAGACCGCCAATTGCCAAACACCGTAGTCGCTATCCTTCTACCTCTACTTCTTTCTATGAGTGTACACATCATTATGTGCTAATTTTTTTTGGGACATACTGGTTTCTATGGCCTCAGAATTATCAAGCTATTTATGTCTGTATGGACAGAGTGGCCTGTATGAGTTAGTTAAGGGCCTATGGTCCAATGAGAGAGAAGGGACAGAAATATATCTGACAGGCTTCTGTTGTTATATCATGACACTCTTCTACTGTACGTAACAATTAACTATCCACTGCTTCCAATTCTTACTCTGATTCTTTCCTGCCATGCTTGTCTGTTCTCTTGTGTGAGTCTATTAATTTGGTCATTGAGAAAGTCCACCTGTCGCTGGTCTTCTACACTCAGCTGAGACTGAAGTTCTGTACCCAGCTCTTCCTTTAAAGCATCTGCCTGGCCTTTCATAGCCTGCAAACTGGACTCAAGGCTTGCTACACTTTTCACCTGTGAATGAAAGCCAAAAATACAGTTTAAAAAAAAAAAAAACGCACAGTAAGAAGCAGATGCTTTTATTTTTAATAGACTGCTTTCACTGCCAAGTTATCTTTATTAATGCTTCGGTCTCCTCCCACATTAAAGATACAGGAGATTTGCAGCTCAGTGCATGAATTCTGTAGTACTAATGAGACATAAATGTATACCATAAAAATACATGATATAAACACATTTTATTTTTGTGGATAGTTTTTTTTTTTAATCTGGCAAATTCGACAGGGCAGTGATATTTTCAATCTGCTCTTTTACTGGCTTATTTGTGTGCAGTTTTTTGTTCCTTGCTGCTTGGGCAGATGCACTGTGACTTTATAGGAAGCCTCCAATTAGTCAACTCGTACGACATGCTTCTGTGGAGGTAGTGGGCCTATTCTTTTTTTCACCACAATGGGGCTTAGAAACCCCACAGGGATTTTCTTTATATAAAGGTTTCAGTAACACAATGAGACAAATCCCAGATATATGCTGCAACCTCTGAACTTCTCTGCTCCAAGATTCAATGCACCAACAGATTCCTCTAAAGATTAACAAAATATATGTATTTGTAAGGACTTCCAAAGCAGTAATGGACACAATGAGGTGTGCTCCTAGACATCTCATATTCTTAAAATTCGATATGAACACTGAGATTAAGCAGATGAGGCTGTAACTCATTTTAGCACAGGTCTGCAGAAATTAGGCTCCCAAAAAAAAAAAAAAAACACTATTAAATGTCTCCAAACATATCAGTAGCAGAGTGACTGATATGTATTAGAGAACTCTCTAGAAATGAGAAATACAGAACAAGACAATACCATTCTACAGCTCTAAATTTACAAAGAAACAGTCAGCATATGTCTTTCACATGGTGAACCTGATAACATCCTAGTCACTTTAAAAAGGAAATTATTAGTCACATATTTTTTTTTACAATTTTGAAAGAAAGAAAAAACACCAAAAAAAAAAAAAAAAAACACTTTAAAATAAATTTTGAATAAACAATGCTTTTTAAATGACAGAAAACCTGTTAAAACTGTTTTTTTTTTTTTTTTTTTTTGCAGAATTTTTTTTTACATTTACAATTTTACTAAACCATTAGTAAAAATTCATGAGAAGATTAAGGGAGAAGACAAAAAGTGGGCAGGGGGGTACAGAATATCAGAGCATGCAGATAAGATGCACAGTAAATGAAATTACTCACCCTGGATGGCTGTGTGGTTTGTAGTGTGGCTAATTCTTCCTTTTTAATCCTCAGGTCAGTCTGAACTTTTTCATACGCATCTCTGAAAGTCAAGGATTATGCCTATTATTTTTTCCAGCAAAAGACATTTAAAAATGATTGATTAACTATTATTTAAAGTGAAAAATAAATCACAAATTTGCTGATGTAGAAGAGCATCCTGTTTTACTTATTAAATAATGTACATGATAATCTGTACAGTTAAGAAATGAAAAGACAGAAGATGATTAAAGATTATGTTCTTACTTGTTTTTACTGTTCTTGGTTTCCAATTTTTGCATCTCTGACAATAAATTAGTGATGTACTGCTCGACTTTCTCCAGTTCCACTCTGTGTCTGTTATATTCTATTTCTTGCTCTTGCTTCAATTTTGTCAGTTCTACTTTACTTTTCTGCAGATCAAGTCTGGATCTTCGAGTATCATAATAGCCACCAGTTAGCGCTCCTCTACGACTCACCTGATCGCCTAAGTTTTGAAAGGGAAGAAAAAAAGAAAAAGTATTATTTAGATGAAATTATAATGGAACTAAGTATATAACCATAACACATTTTTTTTAAAGCCACAAACAAGCTCCTCTGAATGTGTCTCTACCTTGCATGCTGTAGTTGGGTAGTATTTGTCATTTGTCAATAATCCTGAAAGTTACAATAGTGGCAGCATAGCTACCAGCCAGGCCTCCCAAGCCAAAAAGTCAAAGGGTAGCGAACTGGTCCATCAGTTTGGGGCTTGAAGCATAAGGGCAAACTGCCATCTTAATTTTTTTTTTTTAATTTTAATCATGAATTCTGATAAATTTAAACAGATAAAAGAATTGAGTGAGAGGAGACCATGAGGCGGACCAAGAAGATGGTGAAGAGATAACTTAAAGGTAGGCAGAATAATAACATTTGCAGTCACTAACTGGAAAGAGAAAAGCCCAATCACAGAAATAATTGCAAGTGGATTATATCTACAGCAATGAACTGTAAGGCCTCTGAATGCTGAAGAAGAAGAAGCAGATTTAAGTCAAAAACTGAAGTAGATCACAAATGATCAACCTGAATGATCGCTAGGTGCTCAAGTAACCTAGAGGTAACAAAACTTGCAACAATGAAAACAATTTTGATAAAAAGATGAGGCATTAAATTAGGAATGCAGAGTGGTTACTGAATTGCAAGCAAAGCAGAAACTCATTATAGTCACTAATGGAATTATCTTAAAGACAAATGTAAAGTTTATCACAATGTGTTGAGCAGAAATATGACAGCTGATAGCCATATTCATAATTAAAAAATTTATCAATAGACTTATGTAATGAGTTGGTAATATACTTTTTCTTCACATTCACAGGCTGTAAACTCCTGTGGAAAGTTCTGGTTGTTTATCCACTTCTGGATTCTTGTCCTTTTCCAGAACTGAAGAGTTGCACGCACATCCGTTTTACTAATTTGACTTATATGTATGAAGACTGTTGGTTTCTTGCCTCTCAGATGCACTTTGACTTCGAAGAAATCCCCCCTAATTAGTCTACTCTTACGACATTCTTTTGGGTACACAGTGGGTCTATTATTTTTTCCCCCACAAGGTTAGTGGATAATGATGAATCTCTGAATACAATAACATGCAAGACATAAGAGTGATGCATTGTGAATCATGCCTATGAAACCTTCAAGGCTGCGACAGGAGATATTATAACCAACTCCTCATGGGAACAATGAGCAGAGGTACTTTGGAGTGGCTGCTACAGCGAAGAACCAAGCAAGCATGAGAAAGTCCAATTTGCAGAGACCTTGACAACGTAACAACTTTAGTTGCGAACTTTAGCCAACTATGTACAGTATTTTAAAAAGCCTGCTGTTAGCTGGTCAAGTGCCAATGCTCCAATAGATGTTAAAATGAAGAAGAGTGATGATCCTAGTCAAGTTTTCTCTTCTATGTCCTCATCTTGAAGTGGTACATTGTTTATAATGCTTTTTTATGTCTGCAACATATGATTATGCTATGATTGTGAGAACAAGAGAATATAATTAATTTGGAAAAAAAAAGTTATGTGCCATTTCCATAATAAAGGTTGCCTACAGTGTGTGTTTATCTTTTCAGCACCCCCCCCCCCCCCCCCCCCCCCAAAAAAATCTGATTTCAGCAAAACTCTTATTTAGTCGCCTTTTACATCAAACACCCCCCCCCCCTCGCTGACTAAACATTTACTTTCCTAAATGAAATTAATCACACTGTAAGTTTTAATTAATTTTAGATTTTGTATTTAAAAAAAAAAAATACATTTTAAAAATGTGCAAACACTGACCTTCTAATGTGATACAATCAAGATTCTGTGTCCTTGCAAACTGTGTTGCCACCTCCAACGACTTCTTTAATTCAATGTCTTACCAATTTTTACCCCCGTGCCGCAAGCGCGTCTTCTGCTTTTAAAGCTGGTACCAAACACATTAGCTGTTTAATAGCTGTCTGGCGATGCGGTTCATATGTGAGCTTTTTTATCATAGCTACAGCCTCCTGAAACAAAAAGATACATCCAATTAACAATAATTAATACCATGTTTTGTATGTGCTTGGTGAATATCGGCTCACTTCTTCACAAGATGTGCCAATATAAGCATCCTCTTTGCCCAGATATTTCTCCTACAGGCTGCACCCATCTTTAGTTGGTAACACTACTTGTTGGAGGGGTCAATGATCGTGGTGAACAGATTTCCTGTGGTGCTGGATTCTGTGAACAATGGAATGTTGGTCCGTGCTGCAGCGGATATTTTGTGTGGAACAGTCCCTGTTAAGCAAATCTATTGTATCCATGCAGCGAGAGTTTTGTCAGACACTGACATACCGTATTTCCCCAAGTATAAGACATATCTTGATTTTGGAACTGGAAATTTTGAGAAACAAAATAATAATTAGATAACATAAAGTTATTGAATTTATGTTGAATTCATCAACAGAATCCAGAAAACACATCATCATCTGTGTCTGAAGACAAATCACTGTTTCATACAGTTCCTAAACCTCTGTTCAATCTGTGACATATGAAATGCCAAACTTTTTGAATGACTTGACAAAGATCTTCACATTATTCCACCCAGGGTTCTCCTATAGTTGGTTTCTTCACTCACTTGCTGGTGTATAATTTTCTTCAGAAGACTTCATCCATTGGTTCCATTTGTCTCTCATGGCAACTTCTAAGGGTTTGTTTATGCTTTCATCAAGCCGTCTCTCATGGCAACTTCTAAGGGTTTGTTAATGCTTACATCAAGCGGTCTCTCATGGCAACTTCTCAGGGTTTGTTAATGCTTACATCAAGCGGTCTCTCATGGCAACTTCTAAAGGTTTGTTAATGCTTACATCTAGCGGTCTCTCATGGCAACTTCTAAGGGTTTGTTAATGCTTACATCAAGTGGTCTCTCATGGCAACTTCTAAAGTTTTGTTAATGCTTACACCAAGCGGTCTCTCATGGCAACTTCTAAGGGTTTGTTAATGTTTACATCAAGCGGTCTCTCATGGCAACTTTTAAGGTTTTGTTAATTTTTACATCAAGTGGTCTCTCATGGCAACTTCTAAGGGTTTGTTAATGCTTACATCAAGCCGTCTCTCATGGCAACTTCTAAGGTTTTGTTAATGCTTACATCAAGCGGTCTCTCATGGCAACTTCTAAGGGTTTGTTAATGCTTACATCAAGCCGTCTCTCATGGCAACTTCTAAGATTTTGTTAATGCTTACATCAAGAGGTCTCTCATGGCAATGTCAAAGGTTTGTTAATGCTTACATCAAGCGGTCTCTCATGGCAACTTCTAAGGTTTTGTTAATGCTTACATCAAGTGGTCTCTCATGGCAACTTCTAAGGTTTTGTTAATGCTTACATCAAGCGGTCTCTCATGGCAACTTCTAAGGTTTTGTTAATGCTTACATCAAGCGGTCTCTCATGGCAACTTCTAAGGGTTTGTTAATGCTTACATCAAGCCGTCTCTCATGGCAACTTCTAAGGTTTTGTTAATGCTTACATCAAGCGGTCTCTCATGGCAACTTCTAAGGTTTTGTTAATGCTTACATCAAGCGGTCTCTCATGGCAACTTCTAAGGGTTTGTTAATGCTTACATCAAGCCGTCTCTCATGGCAACTTCTAAGGTTTTGTTAATACTTACATCAAGCAGTCTCTCATGGCAATGTCAAGGGTTTGTTAATGCTTACATCAAGCGGTCTCTCATGGCAACTTCTAAGGTTTTGTTAATGCTTACATTAAGCGGTCTCTCATGGCAATGTTGAGGGTTTGTTAATGCTTACATCAAGCGGTCTCTCATGGCAACTTCTAAGGTTTTGTTAATGCTTACATCAAGCCGTCTCTCATTGCAATGTTGAGGTTTGTTAATGCTTACATCAAGCGGTCTCTCATGGCAATGTCTAAGGTTTTGTTAATGCTTACATTAAGCGGTCTCTCATGGCAATGTTGAGGGTTTGTTAATGCTTACATCAAGCGGTCTCTCATGGCAACTTCTAAGGTTTTGTTAATGCTTACATCAAGCCGTCTCTCATGGCAATTTTGAATGGTTTATTATTGCCCAACACCAAGTGGCTGAAGCTGGGATGTCAAGTTTCCAGGTATGTTTTTTTTTCCCACAGCATTCTTCTTTGTTTTCTGTTACATGTACCCTGAACTGATCAAGCATCGACAGGACAGGTTTGCATAAGTTTGCTCTTCTGCTTCAAACTTTCTACCAAAAATCTACTTCCATTGTATTAAACGCACACTGTTTTAGACCCTATATTGTTTAGAAAATAGGTGGGGAAATAGTGTACTTAAACATGTTCAGTTGTATTCTTCTTCTTCTTCTTTGCGTTCACCAACTGTAAACTCTGGCAGAAAGTTCTGGTTGTTCATCCACTTCTAGACCGCAGTCCTGTTCCAGAACCTGAGTGTTGCGTGTACATCTGTTTTACAGATCTCACTTATTTGTATGCAGACTGCTGGTTTGTTGCCTCTCAGGCAGATGCACTCTGACTTCAAAGGAATCAGTTGTATTTATTGCTGTATATAATAAATGTGTTACCCTACTTTCAGAATGAGTAACAATAAATGGCACACACAGTATTTCTTCATCTTTCTTGAATTCATCACACTTAAACTGAAATGGGTCCGCCGACAGGTTAAACTAATGGTATGTTAAGCAAAGTACCAACTGGTGTTTATTCTTATAAATAGTTTCAATTCATCAACTCCATAGGTACCAAGCAAATCACCAAGCCTTTTTTATCTGCTTAAAAGAAAACATATTGTTCTTGCATTCTTCTGTAACAGATAAACCTACCTCAACAAACTGTATCTGAGTTTTTAATTTACCATTTTCTGTCTCATAATGTATCCTGTGTAACTGCTTCAGACATAAATATTTAATTCTTTAAAGTATAGCATTTTAGACTATAAAAAGTTTAAGTAACAAATGTGTGGGACTGAAAGAGTTAACACAAAAAATGAAATACCAGTTAACACTAAAATAAAGTACCAGTTAACACTAAGATAAAGTACCTCAAACAGAAGATAATGACTATACATACCTGAGTGTCTGGATAATGTGTATCTCTATTTTCAAGACGGTTTAGTGGCATGAATGTAACCTCTCCTGGTAAATGCATCCTGTTCATTTCTTTCAGCAAGATTGTGCCGGTACGGTCCGTGTCCACAATATGATGGAAAAGTCTGGAATGGTAATGGACAAGGTGATAATGAAACTTGTTATTTACTTGTTGCCTGTATTGACATTCTAGCACGTCGCTCCAACCTATTTGTGCTCTGTCCTCCCTTGCAGCAGCCTCCTCAGTGTCTCCATGTTCAATGTACCAAGCAGGAGTCACAAAGCCACACTAAATGTAGAGAGCTTTGTGTGTACTAAATCCAACAACAAAGATACAAGTTTAATGTCATATCTGCTATTCACAGGTTAGACAATCTGATACACATGGTGGGGCGTTGTTTCTAAGTGATGAAGCGCTGCAATAAAATTCATTCATTGTCTCTATTTCATATTACTGACATAACATATATATATTTCCAGTGCTACACTGTCCCATCCACTGTTGCATCTGAATGATGTAGCTGCTATAAGAACGGGTGGACATTTTGACTGGGTGGATCCCTTAAAAATTTCTGCAACCCGGCAATGTCAGCAGACCCCAGGTTGCAGAGCACTAGTCTAGATCACATGAATGATACTGATGTGTTCAATGAATTATTAAGTCCCTGTGTGGGTTCCACTGCATAATTTAGGGGTGGAGGGGGAGGGGGAGTTGAGAACAGACCCACTGCTTCCCTATCAAGCATGTCATAAAAGTGTGACTAATTACGGACTTTACCTTCAAAGTCAGAGCACATCTGCCTGAAAGGTGAGGAACCAACAGTCTGCATTCAAATAAGTAGATCTGTGAATCAGATCTGCACACGAAATTCAAGTTCTGGAACAAGACTGGCAGAAGTGGTAGAGTTTACAGTCAGTGAACATGAAGCAGAAGAAGATGAAGAAATTAATTATAGGATACCACTGTAACCAGTCTAAAACACAAGATTGACAATAAATGGGAAGAAGCAACATTAAATAAATCTCTCTTACATTTGAGGGGATACATAAATTAAACAATAAGATGAGACGTTCAGATGCTGACAGAGTAACACTAAGCAGAAACAAAGACCACAGACTTATTATAAGATCAAATATATTAACTTAAACCTGATGTGAGTTCTCAGGTCAACCAAGCTTAAACAGGAGACAATGTTCTGGGAATTATAGGCGGTCGGCATGATATTAATCATGCTGCCCAACTAGTGCTGGGTTATTGGTATATACAAATTTTTAGCCTAGCACCATATTCCCAATACACTTAAGGCTATATCCACAATTTTTTTTATAACTTTAATACTTTTTAATGCAGATGAACGACTGTTGTTAATATTCTTATTTTATCTTCCGTGGATTCATTTCTTATTATATCTTTAGCTGCCCAGGGATGCAGACTATACCAGGCTGGTGTAGCCATTAAAGTTGCCTCAATCATAACATTTTTGGAAGTTGAATGTGGTATCTGGGACTTGTCCTGTTGGTTTGCCATTCAGGACGAGATTCCTGAAGTCTGAAGAATGATCAAACTGTCAGATAGCAGCATGAAGGGGGAATAAATAGATGAGGGCAACATTTTCTTTCTCCAGCTTTTTCCTGTGTAAAAAGTACTGTATCTTTCCTGCTCTTGCACTCTCAAACTACATCCCCCAACAAAATCTCTAACACATTTACATACATTCTATAATCCAGAGGCACTCACCTAGAGCCAGCAGTAACTTCCACACAGGTGTAATAAACTTTGTCACATTCAAAGGCCTCAATAAGCAGACCATGATAACCACTGATAACTTCTGGGTATTTATTTTGTTCACGAAATGACTGTAGCACTTTCTGTATGCTGTCTATTCCATTCAACATACCCTGGGAGGAAAACAAGAGCAGAAACAACAAATAAAATGAGTTACAGGATTCAATCTTTGACATTTCAACAAAATACACAATAGCAAAAGTGGGCTATCGGTTGAAAATTTAAATGATGAAATAAATGTTAGGTAAAAGTTAATGGTATAGTGGAAATAAGACCAGGGTAGCATAGTGGCTACTCACTCGCCTGCCAGCCCAAAGCTCTTGGGTTCACACCCATAACATATCAAGGTTAATTTTTCAGAATTGAACTTGGAACTAGGTCAGCCTAGCCTCAAGTGGACACCAGGTAATGTCCCTGGGAAGTCAATACAGAATGAATTTGGGATCATATGCCTGATGCAAAATTGCTATGAAAAAGATCCTTTACCTTACTAGACATAACTGATGCGTGAAGTGTCCTTTACTGTTTGACAAACTTCTGAGGAGTCTTTGATGAATCTTTAGACTAATCAAAAAGCTTGAGTGGGAGTAAGCCAAGATGAGGGTGCAGAGAAAATATTCAAACATACCTATAAACAACTGGAGTCATCAACTTGCAACAGAAGGTTAATCAGAGATAGAATGGAGACCAAGAAGACAGGGAGAAAGATCATATTCAGGCAGATCTATAAAAAAAAAACAGGAGTCACCAATTAGCAACAAAAGGTCAATCAGAGATACAAATGCAGACCAAGAAGATGGTAGAAAGATCATATTCAGGCACATCTATAAACAAGTGGAATCGCCAATTTGCAACAGAAGGTCAATGGAGACAAAGAAGACAGCGGAGAGATCCAATTCAGGCACATCTATAAACAACTGGAATCAGCCAACTGGCAACAGAAGGTCAATCAGAGATATGAATGGAGGCGGAGGAAGACTATGATTTAGTGTGTGGTAACCAGCTTTATATGCAAACATTTTATGATATGAAAATCGCTATGAAAATTCAAGTTCATCAAAACAATTATATATTTACTATTATTATTCTGTAAATAATCATGTTCATTATTAAAGTGTTAGCTTCTTTTATGGAGTTAAACATTTCAACTTTTCTCACTATTTAACTGCATTTTTTCAATTTCTAATGAGTAATCTTGCACTATAACATAAACTTTTTAAAGAATTACTACTGTTACAGAATTAACAAAGTAATATTCAGTTATACAAAAAAAATGTTAAAAAGCAGACTTAATGCTAAAAAAAAAAAGCATGTAAATGCACACATTAATGAATTAAAAATGAAAATAGTGCTAAAGAGATCTGAGAATTAAAAAAAAAGAAAAAGAAAAAAAAAAAAAGATGAATATGTAACACAATAAAGCGATTATTTAATTTTCCACTGCAATTCTATTCCACTTCATCTTTTACCGCTTCAGGTGTCGAGGGAGATGTAAGTTTCTAATTCTTCTAATTCTAGTCATCTAAACTAACGATTCACTCGCTTCTCTATCTTGTAAACCTTTAACAATGCCAGTTGAAACTAAACTCGCAGGGCTAAAAAGCGAAATTCTATATTTAAGTTGAGCAAAGCGTTGAAAGTTTTGTAGCCATGCTTGTTCAATTAAATTCACCGATGTGGGTTAAAAAAAAAACGTGACTATGTTGAATCAGCATAACACGAGGGGGAGCTTTTGGTTACATTGCAGACTGTGTTTTCTGCGCCACACTGATGGCTAAAACCTGCTTGCCACCAAGTAGCTCTGAAAAGAACTCTTGCAATCACCCACTGGTGGACCATTTAGACACCCCGGCGTCTATGCCACACATGTTATGATGATCTTCATTAAAAATGCTCAACAGACTGTACTTGAGACATTGTGATAAAACCACCAATAGCAAATGAACACCAATTAAACATAAACCAGCGCTTAACTGGTAGTGACAATATCACATCTGCTGACTTTACTTCCCATAACATTTCCTATTACCCAATATCAGGCTAAGGAGCTGGCATCACAAACCAAGTTAATAAATCAGCCTTAATGGGGATGCGTATATGCAACTCACAGGCTGGCAGGCATTCAGGCCACTGTACCACCATAGAAACCTGTTAGGAATAAAGTTAAACTGCAATGCAAACATTTGCAACTAGTGTGACCTCACCTTGCCTGTAAGAGATCGTAAACCTTGTATCCTTTTATTTAACTCTTCAGTTGTTGTACTTAATTGCTGCTGAAGTGTGTTCTCTTGCCGCCATAATGTGCTGCATAATAAAATATGATGCATATAAGTTTACATAGTACAAACAAGTACAGAGCAAAAAATAGATAACCATGGTCCAAAAACAATGGTGCATAATGTACATCGTAATCTACCAGAGAAGCAGCTGACCGAGTGGTTGAGAACACTGGGCTATCATTCGGAAGACCCGGGTTTTACTCCTCGGTAAGGTGCTGAAGAACAAAAATCCTAACCTGCAGTCTGTGGCAACTGAATTATCCACGTGGCCCTAAATCAGGACAAATCTAGCTAAGTTTACTCACAGGCCAAAATGTTGGAAATGAGGGTCGTCACGGGCCAGAGCATAGAAAGATCGCTAATATAATACAGTTGGCAGTGATCTGCAGGCCACTTGCTAGGGCTAGGCCTATGCTGGCCAAATTTGTCCCATGGGGCTGCCAGCCAAACAGTTAGTTGTGCATCCTTTACAAGACGTTGCATAACCAACCCTAGCATTTTTTTGGGGGGGGCTGTTGTGGTTTTTCTAGGCAAATTTTACGTTCAGTCGTTCGCCACTGCTTTCTCAACGGTATGGTCTCTGTACCACTGTCGAAACCAATGCAAGAAAAATCGGCCGCAGTTGAATAGGCCTGCCCCAAATCCTAATGAGCCTGTGTCCTACACTGCCCTAAAAATGGTAAATACAGGCAGGAAAGATAGTAACGTACCCGGTATCAGAAGTGACCAAGAAGGGCTTGCATGATATTGGCGACATAATTTTGTAGATACCATCAGTTGCTGCAAATGCAACCAGTTTATTCGTTCATTGTCCCTATTGTGCCACATAGAGCTCGCAATCTATTCCGTTCTTTCCTATGCAATCACTTGGACATCATGGATGAAATCCAGTTCAGCCCCTTTGGCTTCAGGGTTTCTCCTGGACGTCCTGGTTTCCTCAATCCATCAATTTCCTATTTCAGTGCCCGTTTTGGTGACCAATAGCGATCAGGTTTATACAGGGTATTGGCTGAAGAGCTAAGCTTCGGCAGGAGATGACAGCATAATAAAAAAAGAAATGCTTCGTACAGAAGACGAATTATGATGTCATAACAAATTTTTATAAAGGCATTTAAAAAAAATATAATAAAAACACCCCTTAACCACGGGGTTGCAAAACAGTGACAAACCTGCTGTATAAGAAGGGTGGGCATAGGCCAGTGCTGAAGTTTTTACCTTTTCAGGATGAAAATGTTACATCACTATATGCAGCAAGACCAAAATCCCTGTTAACGATTCTGTATGCATTCAAATCAATAGGTAACAAGAAACATTTTATTACCCTTTTTTTAATTATTTAATTTGAGAGAAAGTAATTGTTTAAAAATCAGTCTTCTTACAATGTTTGCTGTGATTTCAATACTTACTTTCTTAAATTTTGTTGATTGTCCTTGTCAGCTTTCATTTCAGCAAACCTGCGATTGTTATCTTCAATTCCCTGCTTTCTATGTTCAAGATCTTTTTCAAGGTCCTGCAGAACAAAGAATTCCAATGTCAAAATAGTAAATGTGGAAAGAAATAAAGAAACATTCAGTGTAGAAATGTGTGTGCAATCATTTAAGGTAATGAAGTAAGTGTGACAAACTATAAATAACTATAGAAAGTAATGTTACAGCTAACAAGTCCAGAGGACTGATTTCACTGGGTTAAACCCCATATGGCTGTCTTCATCCACACACACACACAAAAATAAAGCACACAAATCATGAACGTTGTAGCTCAGGTGGCGGTCCCTATGGATCTCCGCAAACAGGACGCTCATGAACTGAACAAGCAGCCAAAAAAATTAACCCACGACTATTCGAATACGACACGAGCACTTCAACATAGAAACCCCCACTGAAGTATGGAGAAATATTAAGTAGAAGAGTTTCATAATCAGTTACACATTACCGTTTTCAACTCGGCAATGATAACCATGACTGTTCTGATAAGTGTTGGATCTAAATATGTCACAGACATAGATCCCGTTGACAAATCAACTATATCTTTAATTATAATATCTGAAGTAAACTTACCATATATAACAATGCTTTTTATTAAACATCAACCTCCAAACTTATACTAATCTTTCTTTCATAGAAGTTACAAGGAACTGATTTGAAAACAGAACTCAGAATATACAGCAAAAACATTTTAAGAATACTACTATACAACAGTGAGTGTTAGAAAATGGGTGCTTTAATAATATCCTATCTCAAACGGGGGAAATCCACAGATTACGGGACAGTCTAATATTTCAGGGGGTGGTAGACAGGCTGCATGCAGCCGTAGGATCTAGGCTGCATGCAGTCATGGGACCTATGCTTCACTCTCTCATGAGACGTAGATGGGTTGGGGTTAGGGCCAGTTCTAGATGTTTTGGGGTCGTTAAAAGCATCAGAAAGCCGAGAAACCTAGTCTTACAACACTCTAAACTGTTGGCCGTTCTATGCTCTGGAGTAGGATATTAATAAAGAACCGAAAAATGATAGCAGAAATTACTCATAAATTAAGACATAAAAAATAAATGTATAATCAGAATCTTGTGAATATTTTGGCCTGACAAGATCACAAATGAAGAACTGAAAATAACAAAATGTTCAACGATGCCAAACATTATCACAAAAAGAGGATGGTAATAGCTTGGACATGTTTGCAGAATACCTTGTGACACTTTGGCAAGGACAGCTGTCTGATGGACAGTAGATGGAAATAAGGAGACATGGATGACCAAAAGAAACCAGTAGAAATGAAAATGAAGGACATGGGATAGAACAGGCTTGTGAATGCTTATGTGCCAACAGTGACATGAATTGGATAAAGATAAATAGATGAAATATCACTTACTGCTATTTCTTTCTGTAAATTTGCTGTCTGACCTTGACCCTGCTGCTGTACATCTCGTAGCCTGTTAATCTACAAAAACAAACCAAATGAATTAGTAAACCAAAGGAAAATTTTTTTTGGCAACATGTACATCTCTAAGTAAACACACATGCCTCTGGGGAAACACTTCACTTTTGAGGAATGAAAAGTTTGTCAGTTTTGCAGGAGGGAGCTGACCTTTTATTAGGCTAAACAGCTAGCAGCAGGCAAATGTAGAAAGCAAGAATTAAAACACCCCGTTACTAAAGAGTGCTTCCACCAAGTGGAGAAAACTCCAACAAACACAACAATGCAGGTTGCAATGAAGCTCATCGCACCCATTATATGCAGGGAACAGGAATTTGTAGATAGATGGCAACTGGGAAAGATTAGTAAGTTAGTTAGTCTTTCCTCTTAGGCCTAGGGCGGCGCATAGGGCAGAGGTCATAGTTCTCCATGTCTGGCCGTTTGTTGCTACCTGCTCTAGGTCTTTGATATTTTTTCAGGCCCATGGTTGAGCCTTTCCTGATGATGGTTCTACGTAGAGTCTCTCTTGATCTTCCCCGTCTTCTTTTTTACTCCTGTGTTTATATCAGGGCTTGATGGGGAAGTCTTGTCTTCTCCATTCTGAGTGCATGGCCGAGATGGATATGTTAAGTAAGTAAAACCACATTAAACTCTTATTTGCGTCTGCAAGCTATAAACTCCAGCAGAAAGTTCAGATTGTCCGTCAACTTCTGGACTCTGATCTTATTCCAGAACTGGAGTTTTGTGTGCACATCATCCGCTTCACAGATCTGACTTATTTTTACGCAAAATGTTGGATCTTCATTTCTCAGGAAGATGCAATACGACTGGGAGGGGGGGGGGGGGAAAGAGTTGATCTCTCCCCCTCCCCCCCTTTCAAATGGGGCCCCAGAATCACGATGGATTTGTATTAAAAACTGATCAAAACTGCAAATTTGTTTTGCTTCTTCTCTTCCTCCAGTTTCTTAGGGTAGAGTTTAACAGAATTTTAAGGGTGTTTTTTTTTTTTTTTAGCTAAACATAAAAAAAAAAATTTTTAAACAAAGTAACTTTCACATTATTATGGGGTGAACAGGTTAAAGTAATGTCCATTATTTTAAATATCTTTTCACCAAACTATCTCAAAAACATACTTGCTCCTCCTTGTCCCTGATTGCTTTGTTCAGAGATTTAAGCTCTTTCCTAATCCAGTTGTCCCTGTCCTCACGAGACTGGAAGTGACTTCCTCTACCTTGTTTGGCATATAACTCCTTTCGTTTCTGATCAGCTTCAGCCAGTCTGGAAAAAAATTAATTATTTATATAAATGAAGAACCAATATGATCAACTAATTTCATTACTGTATTAAGATCAAACATGTAGCGAGAAATTATCATAATGTGCCCTCTCAATGTGGGTTCTTTTTCTTCTTCAGCCGTTCTATCCCCTAATGGAGCATAGGCGCTCAACCAACTCACGCCAAGTCGTACTATCCTTAGCTATTACATGGAGCTCTCCTCATGTCCTCCCCATCTTTCTAACTTCCTTCTCCAGCTCTGATCTCCATGTGTTTTTTGGCCTTCCTTTATTCCTATGCCCCTGTGGGTTCCAATGCAAAGACATTCTAGTTATGCTGTTCCCAAGTTTTCTCTATGTGTGTCCTATCCAACACCAGCGTCTTTTCCTCACCTCTTGGTCCACTGCAGCTTGCTTATGTCTGGGCCCCTATTAATGAACAGACAACAAATGTCAACCCTCTCAATAAAGGCCAACACAGAAAAAGAAGAAGACAAAGGACATATACCTTGCAGAACACATTTCTTCATTATCAAGTTTGTTCTGATACTCCAGACATATGGCTTCATACTGTGCTTGTGTCTTTACAATTTTCTCATTCACTTTTGCCAATTCTGCTTCCGTTTTTGCCTGCCAATAAGCAAATAAAACAAAACTATTAATTATAGGCACTATTGTTCGGAAATGGGAGCTGCTGTAATGTAGCGGCTAGATGCTTACCTGCTGACCCAAAAGTTGTGAGTTCAAATCGGTATGGAGTCTGAACATTTGTTGAACATGACCTTGGCTATGAGGTCGACGCAATTCTGGAAAGTAAAGCTGACTGGGGTGATGCTGATCACATCACCCACTGAGTGACGATTGATCTATGCAGGTCTAGCACTATATGCCTAATACGCCTACAGGCATGAAAAGGGGTTCTTTATTTTCAGAAATACATAGTCCTATGTAAAGAATTGTGCTAAAAGTACAAATCAGCACCCTTACCCACCACACATTCTGCAGCTTTCTCCAGGCTGGAGTAGCCGTCATGAGTGTCCTAAATATAATGTCTCTGGAGGGTGAAAGGGTTATCTGCCCTATTGGCCTGACATCCAGATTGAGATTTATAAAAATCTCAGAATGGTCAAATCTTTAGGTGGCCAGAAGAGGGGGTGAGGGAAAGGGGGAACATGCAAAAGATAAGGCAATGAAAGCATCAGTTATGCCTGAGAAACAGTAGGCGACAGTTAGTGATAAGTTTGTCATCAAAAGTATCATCATATGATCCAGCTTTGGTTTAAACCCTGGTATGGGTATAAATTATTGGACTAAGACAGCCTTGCAAAATTGGGGAAGTTTGCTGGAAGATTTCCAGAATAGATCCAATGCCCCCCAAACAAGCATGCTAATTGGCTAATTAGGGGTGTTTACTCTAAAGTTGTAGTGCATCTTCCTAAGAAATGAGGAACCACATTCTGCATAAAGTTAACTCAAGATCTGTGAAGCAGATGTGCATACAAAGTGAATAATCAAATTAAACAATAAATAACAACCCAATGACAAGATATTAAAGGTTGAGTATAAACTTCATGTTGCCAAATTTATGGAATTTTATCTGCAGCTAAAAATGCAGATAAAACTGAACAGACAAAAATAATCTTATAGTAGACACTGTTGCAGGGTGTGTAGTGTTAGTGTTACATACTAGGTAGTGGTATAAGAGGCAGGGTGACAAACTTCCTTCCCTGTCACTTTTCCTTTTGATAAAAATCCAAGATAACCATCATAGGACCAAGTCAAAATCTGATGCCATAAGTAAGGTTTGAATAACAGACCACTAGACCACTTTGGTGATAAGCTAGGTTACTAACTACTAATCTAATATGCTTCCTAACTGAGGTAACTGAAGATAAAAACTGCAAGAAAGGATCCATCAATATTAATAAATACCTTGGCATTCTGATTGCCTCGCTGGTCTTCAACAATGTCTCTGATGCTAAGCTCAAGCTTAGAGTTCTTCTTCATCAATTCCTGGTACTCTGCAGTAAGGCTTTCCTTCTCCTCCAGGGCTGACTGCATCTGGGCCTTCAGTTCTTTCAGATCTTTATTAATTGTCTGATGATAAAGGTATTGTTCTGCTGGGTTAACCAAGGGAAAGGTAAATAAAGGCAAACAAGCAAAGGTATTTTGCCACTGTAATCACTCACATTACTAATAAATAAACAACAAACATTCATTTATTAAACTGATTGATGTCTACGCAGAAAACAGGGAACAAGCTGGTACAACAAAATGGAGCTTTGGGAACAATTTTCAGTCAATTAAAAGGTGAAGATAAGATATTGTCACTAATAAGACATACACTAAAAAACATTGTTATGCCAAGAATTCTTTCACTGCAGCTTATATGTTAGTTGTGTATCCTTTACAGGACGTTGCAGAACCAACCCAGAGGCCCGTGGCTGTTGTGTGGTTTCTCTAGGCAAATTTACATCCAGTAGTTTGCCATTGCTTTCTGGACAGTCTGCCACTTGATACCACTGTCGTAACCAATGCAAGACGCATGGCCCACAGCTGGGATCGAACCCTGCACCCTGGCATTACGATGCGTTAGCATCGACTTAGCCACAGAGCCGACGCAGCACATAGAGATAAATAAATAAACAAAAACAACAAACAAAACACAAAGAGAATTAAAAAATAATATATTTTTGATATCTTAGCTTTTATACCATGAATTTTGTCAGTCACATGCTGAAAGCAACCCCCCCCCCCCCTTTTTCTCATAAACTGATTAAACATAACACTATTCCAGCTTATCAGAATTAGTATCCTTACTAATTGCATTGGGAGATCACATTTCTTCACAACTCCCACCCTCTAGCAGTAAGTAAGTATTCATTTGCTGAAATCTTTATTCTTACTATCTTCTACATTTTCTTTAATTCGTTTATCATTAATTTTACCCGTAATTTCAATATGTTCCCATGTTTTTACTATCTTGTATTTTTTTTTTTTTTTTTTTAATTCAATAATCAATCGTCTCCCCTAAGATTTCAGTGCATTCCAATATTATCTTCACAGGTTGTCAAAATATTTTCACTCGCTGATGTGTGTAATGGGTTTCCTTTGAGTCCTGGACTCATTCCCAGAAAGATTTCTCATTCTGACTGGCCACAGTCCTGGGCAGTTAGTGTCCTTTGCATATTTTCTCCAGGTAATGACGGTGTGTTGGAAAATGAGCAGACTGGCTGGTTGTGCACCACCTGGTGGTGAACTGATGTATGGTGAGCTAGATGTTGTGAGGGCCTTTTGGGAGAGAGTGAACAGTGCGGAGACACAGACAGATCAATACAGTCTGAGGAGAATGGCGCTGTTATCAGGAGATCTGGCTGACCCTCAACACTCAAAGGAAAGGCGAGACAGATATACAATCTGACAATTACTGGTGCCATCGGAATTGGAACTCTCGCCTGCTGCTGAATATGGGGATGGAGTGCTTATGGGAACACCCAAGTGCTATGACGTTGACTCTTAATTCAATGTTAGGGATGAAGATCCTACTCTCCACAGTACAAAGCATTGCGCATTGCACAGTATTCATGGGCAGTATTGCACAGACACAGTGCCGCCCATACGACATGATGCCCATCTCAACCAGCTTCTGTTTACTCCACAGGAAAGATGACTCTTCTAGTACATATGGAAAAAGGCATTCTGCAGAAGTTGCCACATCAGAAAAGCAGTGTTGTCATTCCAACTGTCATACATGTGCGTGTTCCAGGGTCCAATTGCCTAACAAACAAGCAGGTCATAAGAGTGAGTCTATTAATTGGGGGACTTACTTCGAAATTGGAGTGCACCTGAGAGGCAAGGAACTAACAGTCTGCATACAAATAAGTCAGATCTGTAAAACAAATGTGCACACAACACTCAGGTTCTGGAACAAGACTTAAGTCCACAGCTGGACAAACAACCAGATGTTTAAACCGGAGTTTACAGCTGGTGAATGCAAAAAAAGAAAAAGAGCTTCCATCTTACACCAGCTGCCAGCCAGAGCTAAAGGTCTGGTCTGCCCTGCCATAGCACTTTTAGGTTGCATTTCTTCTCCCTAGGAAAAAGCAGTTATCCTCCCCCAATGCACCCATACAATAACCTATGTACAGTCTGTATTACATTTCAAACAGAGATAATTCATGTTTTCATAAGATTAGTAGTGGACTGCCAAGAGCAGATGGTAGGGATCAACAGCATTATATATATATCCCAATTTTATATCAAAGCCCATGTAAGATGTACCTTAACTTTGTCATTAGCTGCCATCAATTCATCTCTCAGAGCTGTTGAATTAGCACCACTGTTGTCCCGCTTAGACTGCAACTGTAAAGAAGAAAACAAACTTCGTAAGCATCTATTAGAAGTCAAATATGGAATGAAAAGCAAGTTCAGGCCTTTACTTGAAGGCAGTCTTTCCTTCTTTCTTAAATGCGTGCTGTCTTCAGAATAAAAGTTGGCTATAGTACTCACTGTTGTCTTTGGGAATATTATGAGGTGAGGCCCAAATCATTTCAAAAATGAGACTCAATAAATAATTAATTAATAAACTGTCAGCTGCAGAAATATGGAGCCCTGGTACAAGAGGATACAAAAATTGTTAAACTCATTTGCTAACTCCAAAGCCGCATTGAAGAATATTTATTCTAGATCATGTGATAATGACACAGGATGGTCAAGTTTTTTTTCTTTGCCACTTTCCTGTATTTTCCAGACAATTCTGAAAATTACATCATGCTCATTTTATGAAATTAGGATATACCCTGAAGCCATATTGGTTGTACCCTCTGTAACATGTTATATTAATTTGCAGCTATCCTCCTAACAACGGACCCAAATTATCGAGGCTAAGAAAATACCCAAACAGGGCCTCAATCATATGTAAATTGTAGCCTTCCGGGAAATATACCGCAGGAAACACTCCTCCAAATAACGGCCCCAAATCATTAAGGGTGTCAACAGCTCCAACACTGAGTGATAGGTTTAACATCTCCCCTAGGTCCTAGGTTTAACTTCTACCCTGGGTCCTAGATTCAACTTCAACCCTGAGTCCTAGGTTTAGGTTAGGGCAAGGAGTATTAAAATTACGATACTGCCACCAGAATATGTCACAACAGAGGAACCGCGACAATAAAAGGATTATGGATGGAACGTACGAGGACGCGACGTTACCACGGCTGCACTAGTCACTGAATATTTAGCACAGTTTTCTGGTGGCAATCAAGGCCCTGTTAGGGTATTTTCTCAGCCTCGATAATTTGGAAGCGTTATTCGGAGGATAGCCTAATTTTCTTCAGATACAATTTACAGGCAAAGCCAAAACCCATTTATAATGCTGAAAATAAAACAAAAACTCACCTCATCCAACTTTTTGCGAGTGTCTTTCAATTCATGATCATGGATTGTGTATTCTAGTGATCTAGAAAAGAAATGAAAACACGAGCTCACCATGAAATAAGCATCACTGTAAAAAATTAAAAACAGCAGCAGAATTTTGACAAGAAAAATCCTACTTCTGAACATGAAATCAGACGACAAAAATGTATAAATACAACAGGGGATAAGCTAATTCCAAAAGTCAAATTAGACAGAAACAAAAACTAAAAAACAGTGCCTTTCACTACCAATGACTTACGTGACGAGGAACTGAAAAACAAAACAATTCCAGAGATAGAAAATATATGTAAAACAATAACTGTCTTTACGTAAGGGGCTTGAGGGTTAGGCAAGACTTGAGCCTGAGTGTCACATGGCTTGTGCAGTCACATCAAACTCTGTAGGTTTGGGTGTTTTTTTTTGGCATTACATTAAAAAAAAATGTCCATCACTTACCGATGTAAAACAATAGAAATGTCTTATCAGTTTAAAAGTTAACAACTTTGAAACAACTAAACAAGCAAGCTAAATAAATAAGCTTTAACTACAGCATTAAACAGATTACAAAATCAAAGAAAATATCTGCAGATGTATTATAATTAATTGTATACCTTTTTTTCTGACACTTAGTGTCAGTGCTTAAAAATAAAAACATCAGTACCTTCTCATTTTGTCCCATTTCTGATACTCTTTCAGCTCTTCCTTTTCACCTTCCAAGGTGTTTAGTCTTTCCTCTATGTATTTTAAAAGATCACTAATCTTTTCTCTCTTGCCATCTAGAGATTACAAAATATATTGACAATCCAAATCACGTTTACAAGCCTAATGTAATAAAATAACTATTTTAAAAAAGATGATCTTATCTTCTATATTTCCTTTTACATGTACTCTGCATATTATAAAATGTCATAGATAATAATGTGTGTTATAAATATGATTAAAAACTTTCAGTTACAATTTAAACAATGAATAACTGAATGTCTTTTTTTTTCTGGAAAGGCATCTTTCATTTTGAAAAACCACTCATGTTCTTTTTTTTCTGGAAAGGCATCTTCTTTCCTTCTGAAAAACCACTCTCCATGTTCATCTTTAGAGTTACAATCCATTTTCTAAATCTGTGAAAATGCCACTGTTTGACTGCCAATTTTTCTATTGAAATTTCTACTGCTGATTTTTCTATTGAAATTTCTAAACTCTCATATATCTTTATTTGTCTACTGATGCTGCTCTTTGGTAGGGATCAGTCGGAAATGAGGTGGGAAAGGGAAGAGAAAATAAGCACATCATCAATGTCCACAATAAAAGGATCATATATGCTGATAAGCTCTGGGATGTAAAGGTGAGATGTCAGCAGCCGAATCCTGTTGCTGTCAATGCCAAGGTCCATGCGCTTATGAGTGACAATTCAGATAAGGCAGATGTGTTTATCTCCCAAGATGGATTCGTCAGCATGCTCTGCAGGCAGAACAGTCATGGAAGCCAACAGTACCTTCTCTATGACTCATAGTAGAATAATGAAGCAGGATTAATTGATCACAATTCATAGGTCAATATACTGCTCATGACTGTGAATCACATATACCAAACAAAGTATAAAGAAACTGGAGGCAAGAGATGTAGTTTCAATGCAGCATGCTAGGAATTCCATAGATGACTAAAAAAGTCAATATTCAAGTACAACAAGAATCAAAAACATTTGATTAACAACATCAGGACAAGACAATCATCATTTATTGGCCCTGTTACAAGATGGTTAGGAGAAGGATGCGACAGTTGAGACGATGAAGCATGCCAGAGATCAAGGGAGGGAGACAATTCTGGAGGGCTAAGTGGCACAGATGATAATCATCATCGCCAAAACAGTGAAAATTGTTTCACAGTCCATTTTACAGCTAACTCAACACAAAACAGGGGAAATTTGTTCACTGTCCACTTTACAGCTAACTCAAAAGAAAACAGTGGAAATTGTTTCACAGTCCACTTTACAGCTAACTCAATACAAAACAGTGGAAATTGTTTTACAGTCCACTTGACAGCTAACTCAACACAAAACAGTGAAAACTGTTTCACGGTCCACTTTACAGCTAACTCAACACAAAACAAAACAAATGTAGACAGCAGTTGATCTGTTTTATTCGATGTCTCAATATTACAATTTTTAGATAATGCAACAACTGCTGCTGCTGCTTAGAGGTTAAACAATTTTATAGATGTGGCTGGAGCGTTGTTTCTGATACATGAAGCACTTATAACATCCATTCAATTTGTCCATCTGGATTTAGTCTTTTCACACAAACAGGAAGTCACTGAGGTGTTAATCCTAAAGACTAGAACAGCTAAACCACCTACCCTATTTAGTTACATGATTAAGCAGAATTCTTTGGTGGCTCACAGGTTGAAAAACTCTGCTATAGAGAAACATCACTCCATCCATTTATGAAAAACAAAACCCCCCAAAAAATCGACCACATCCAACCTATTGCGAGTAGTATTGGTTATAAATGTGGTCTGGTTTCTTTCTGCCAATCATTTTGGTGAAAAAATGTCAATTGCACCAGAACTAGTGGCTTGGACCAGTACTCTAGTACCTAGGAAGCGTTGTTGGGGAAGGGGCTGGTATGCACCCCACACCATCACTATCAATCACAGCACGGCTAAAAAAACACTTGGTCCATAACCAGCTCTTCCACCTCATGAGCTTTCCTGCTGAAGATGTCATGTCATCTTTGAGCTGGTCAGCCTCTGCACCTTTTACATGGTACCATGTCTCCGCCAACTTTTCTTTTCTTTCCAATCCACTGTGGCATTTGACATGGCCAAAGATTTCAGTTGCGGAGACAAGATCCTGTTTACAAGTCAATTTTCCTAGTTGTTTAGATCCTTTAGGATATTAATATTGTCTTCTTCTTGGTTCATGATATTCTAAGAATCTTTCTATAGCATTTTAGTTCATAAGATCTATTTTCTTCCTTAATGATGGCAAGACAGTCCATGACTTACATCTGTATTGTGCTATAAACAAAAACGAAATGCATGCTCTCAAATTTCTGACTGATTTGCTTCTGGTGCTTAGCCAGTCTTTCAGTCTTTGCACTGCCATGGCCATCCTCCTTCCATTTTCTACTGAAGTCTCCATGGCTTTTCTTCTTCTTTCGTTCACCTGAAATAAGTTGTCTATATCAGTAATTTTGTCTCTTGTATAAATTTCACTGTTGTTGTTAATTCATTCAGTGGTTCCATAGAGTTTATGTTCCACTGTTGTTCTTTCTGGCCAAAAGGTTTGGTTTAATGTGTCAAATTTGGTGCAGTCCTGGAGTACATGCTCTGCTGTCTGGGGCACCTTTCCACAGGTGCACATGGCTGATACGCCTATCTTGAATCTTGTATACATGTGGGTCCATGGCTGTTAATTATGGAGCCTTGATATTTAAAATATGTGACATTTTTAATTAGATGATGATCAGTGCTTAAAATTATCAATAAAAACTAGGACTGATGTTTGAGAAGGAACAATGATTGCCTATGCAGCTTGGCATGGCATGCGATAATGATAAATCAAGATATTTAACACTAACTGCTCTGATATCTCTGTCTGACATTAACTCCATACTTCCTCAACTCTCTTTTTTCGGCTATAAACTAAGCTGGAAAGTTCTGGCTGTTTGTCAACTTCTGGACTTTAGTCTTGTTCTAGAACTTGAGTTTTGTTTGCACATCCATTTTAGAGATCTGATTTATTTGTAAGTAGACTGGTAGTTCCTCACCTTTAAGGCCCATGCACTCCAACAGAAACCTCCCTAATTAGACAAGTTGTATGACAAGCTTTTTAAGGGAGCAGTGGGTCTATTCCCCCTTCCCCAAAATGGGGTCCCAACACCTGCACAAGGAATTTCCTCAACAGTTTCACACTATAATAAACTAAACTGATCAGCACACAACTGGCACTGGCGTACCTACCTGTTTCAGTTAAAATTGCATTGCTCTCCTCTTTACGTTCATCATAAACTTTGGTCCCTGCCACTTCTCTAAGTAGCTTCAGACGCTGAGAGTCAGGTGCTGTGGCCATTTGATTTATCTAGAAACGTGATATTTACATTTTGAACTACAAAAACAGGTTAAACAAATGAACACAATTTGTGCAGATTATTCTCACCTTTTTTTTTAAATTAAATTTTTTTTAAATCTAGCATATTTTAAGAGTAGGAACTCAGCCTAGTGAATAAATATGTGTTAATATTCCTCTTACCAGATTTATTCTTTGCTCAAAAAAAAAAAAATAATATTTTCAATAGTTAACCAAACAAATTACGTCCCATACTGGGTCCGATTAAATTACATGATGTCTTTTAGCACTGGCCACCAGGCCAATATGATTATATTAACAAAACATCAACGAATAAACAAAGTAGAGTAAATTTTACCCAACTAGGACATCACACAGAGTGAAAAACATCCGGTGACACAAACTGCCACCATGTGGATGAGGATCACCTGTGGAGAGGTCCCGGAAATCGCGTTAAACCATTAGCCTATATTGCGGCCCTTGGCAACAGCCAGGGTGGGGCTTCAAAATAACAAAAAAAGGGATGACAAAGAAAGTATAACATAAAGGAAGATGTTATTTGCAGCAAAAAAAATTCTATGTTTTGAAACTATGATTTAACCATATAACCTCATTATAATGTTACTTTGCTCTATGTGGTAAAGTCAACAAAAACCATTTTTTTTTCTGACCAAAGGGAAAGAAAGCAGATAATTAGCTAGTGATTACTTCCCTTCATCCTGGTAAAAATAACAAACAGGGGATTTTTGTGAGTGGGTGAATGTGAGTGCTGTGCTATCACAATGGAAGGTAAGCTTGCCTGTGTGCTTGTCAATCAAAGTCTTGAACCCCATGGACTTTTATAAAAACTGACAGATTCCAAATTTCTGCTGCTTTTTCTTTTCTTCTTCTACTTTCTTAAGGCAGAGTTTCAGAGAATTATCAGGATGCATTTTTTTTTAAACAAAAAGTTTAGGGGAAAAAAGGTCAGTTCAGATTCTTATGGGGTGAAAGAGTGAAATACCCTTCAGTTTACTCTACAAGAATCATGTTTCATCGTTTACCTTATAATCTCAACAAATTTATAAATAACGAATGTAGAATGAAGTTTTATGTTTCAGACTTTAAAGTATATGTGCAAAAAAAAAAAAAAAAAAATAATCTGGGTTCTGTAGTACAAATATGAAAAACAAATCAGTTTCACCTTTCCTTGCTTGACAATGTAGTAGGGGTTACTTCTAGAAAAACCAGCACTTTCCAGTAAATTCATGACATCGGTTTTTCTGAAGGAAAAATTTTTTTTAAATACAACACATTTGGACGTAAAACATTTTGCAGCAACTTACCATAATAAACAATCTCTTTCTTATTTCAGTGTGTGCACATGCACACCCCCGGGGCAAGCCTGTAGGGATACAGAAGGCTATTGTTCCCCCCCCCCCCCCCCCCCCCCCCCCCCCCCCCCCCCCCCCCCCCCCCCCCCCCCCAGTGGCAAGGACACCCCCCCCCCCCCCCCCCCAATCACAAAATGTGATTAAAGAGGAGTAATGTGTTCTTAATATAATCAATATTTAAATGCACGTGTTATCCTATTAATTTGATTTTTAACAGCAGATGTACAAACTGCGCATGTGTTTGGCTTTTTGTTTTATAAATAGTTTTTAACATATTTATTTCTAATTAAACTGAAACAGATGATAGTATAACTGATTATTACAAATAAACTCATTTCCAAAAATGCCCATTAGTTTCCTTTATTTATAGTTTCTCTAATCCAGGCCCAAAACAAAAGTACTTATTTTATATTCTGTGCTTCAGAGTAAATTTCTGACCTTCCTGAAACATGGCTGTAACAATAATGAAAGTTTTGTCCTCAAGTTAAAATTTTTTTTTATCAAACTCATAACATTTGTCATATTCTTAACTAATTTTGTTTGTACTAAGCAATACAATAAAAGCTTAAACAATAACTTTATTCACACATTTTAATTATATAACTATAACTTTATATATATATATATAAAATTGGTTCTCTGGCCATATTTTTTGGGGGGGGAGGGATAGAAATCAGCTACTGACCTTTAACAAACATGTTGTAATAGGTGACTAATTAAAGGTTAGCTGAAATCGCATGCCAAAAGGTACAGATTCTATATTGCAGCCTAACTGCAAAAAGCAGCACAATGTACCAACCGACACAAAGAAGATAAATGCAGATCTGATAAAAAGAACTCACCAGGGACCCAAGAAATGGTTCTTCTTATCAGAATATTCTTCTTATCCAGAAAAAAATTCAAACAAGATAAACTGCCAGGGAATTTAAAAAAATTTTCTTCAAAAGATAAATTTGCCACATCAGAGATTGCCTTAAGTGGTCTGCATTGAATAACTAAATATAAATGAAACAAAGAAAGTTATTTGGCACTGAAATATTTCTTAAAACTCAATGGAGGTAGGACATGCAATGACCGAAACAGTGAAGAAAATATAGTGACTTGACTGTTGAAGAATACGTTAAAGCACAACAAGCTCTGATAGAGAGAACTGAGTCAACAAATATATATATATAATGTTTACTTACGTGACCATTTTCTTGTCCAAGAAGTACTGATCTTTCTTGGAGCCAATGACTCTTCTCAACACAACTTCATCTTTTTCAATCTGTAGATGAATTTCTTAAACTCAGCAATGCACAAAACCAGGTCAATATTTTAATAGAACACTCAATGAAAACAACAAAAAGTGTTACAATGCTGCTATTCTTTTCTTCCCTTATTAGCTCTACTAAAAAAATTAATATGTTGTCACAACAATGAAGGTTGGCTGCAATGTGCCCTTTGCTGTTTTTGAGAATATTACAAACTGTTCCAGTGTTACTCTTATAATAATGTGTCAGCAGAATAAAATTGTTTTTAAATCAATCAATCAGGTGCTGTCTCGACAATGAAGGCTGGCTGAAAAGAATCTCCAACATCTGTCTCTTGTCTTGGTTTTACACTTAGACACTGTTCTCCATCTTTGATGTTGTTCTCCCACTTGTAATGAACAGGCGGACAGACTGGCTGGCTCTGTACAACGCGGTTGAATACTGATACATGAAAAGGCAGATGTGGTTAGTGCCTTGTGGGAGAGCGTGTACTGTTTGGAGGAGAAGACGGATCACCAGTCTGGTGAGATTGATGCAGGGGGGAGTGATGAGAGGTTCTGGCAGATGCTTGAGGCTCACAGGAAAGGCAAGATAGGACGTTTAATCAGACCGTTACTGGCACCACTAGTATCGGAACTCTTCGCTGGCTGCTGAAGATGGGGACGGAGCGCTTATGGGAATGCCACGAGTGATGTGATGTAGGTTCTTGAATCAAATCAAAGTAATGTTATCTTGATCTCACCCCCCCCCCCCCCCCCCCCCCCTCTTCATGGTTTTTTAAAAGCATTATTGTCTTGTATGTAGCCACAATATTTCAAGTATGCCATTTTTTTTAAAAATTTCTTTCAATAATTTTCTTTTCAATTTCAGTGTTTCCAGAACCTCTGTATTTGATTGTTTTTGTTTCCAGGAAATATTACCCATTTTTGTATATCCACATTTTTAGAGACACAGCTTGATTTTCTAGTTGCATTTTTTTTTAATTATAATTTTTATTTTATTTTAAACCACCAACCACAAAAAAACTGAACCCGAATACATTGAGGACTATCAAAGATAAACAGCCTGTTTAAAGAAATCTAATATGAAAATAATACTAAAAGAAAAATGAGCTGAAATAATGAAAATAAATAGAAAATCAGTACAACATATCATCATTGTTGAAAGAGAGACATTAAAACAAGCTAAGGAGTTTAAGTACCTAGGCAGTGTATTTATTAAGGATGGAGGAGTGGACACAGAAATAGAAAACGGTCAACTACGTAAATTACTAAATAGCTCCACTTTTAAGGCATCAAAATATCAACATGAACACACAAAAGCAGCTGATAAATGTGCTATTCGTAACGACTTTGTGCTATCAATGACAGACACAGACAGTCATAGAAAAGACAAAAACAGAGTCCTTACAAAAAATTAAAACAATTAGGCACAGTAGCTAAAGCATTTTCACAGAACATACATAAGAGTTATTTGGTCACAATGTATAGGCTACAAGTAGGCAAAGTCAAAAGGTCGACCAATAAAGAGGCAGAGGGTGTAAAAGAGGCATAGAGAAATGCTATATGACATTAACACAAACTAGCATATGATACCACAACATCCAGCTTAAGAATGAAGGTGGAGGCGGTCACCGCAGCTTTCCGCTGGCTAGAGAAACACGACACACACACACATCACGATTGTAAAAAAGCATGCTGAGGAAGATCAGAACAGGCATGCAGAGTGGCATGCTTTGCTGTGGAGGACACAGGTGAGGAGTATTGTTTGGATTTTTTCACCAGGTATGCCGGTTTGTTGGGAAATAAACAGGCCAGAAAGACTGGCTGGCTCTGCACAACTTGGTGAAATACTGATACATGATAAGGTAGACGTGGTTAGTGCCTTGTGGGATAGTTTAGTGAACCATTTTCTCCTTGATAAGTTATGTTCCAGACAGAATGATGTCAGCTAAAAAATCTGAATGAGATATTTAAATGTAACAAGGGCAGAGCCGTGAATCACGGACAATTTTTTGGCCAAATGAAACCCATGTGAATCAGAGAACACGAAAAAGTCGTAATTATAATGTGGGCGTTCGAAGATTTTTTAATGCCTTAGAAAGAGCATGTGGACAGTCTCGTTTGGGCCAAGAAACTGAATGCATGAAGAACGGAGGAGTGTTTGTCGTATCCAGTGTGCGTCTGATATGTCTGCAAAGTTTCAACGCTTACTTGGCCAGACAGCAAAGGACTGGCAGAAATCCCGGCAGCCAGCTGATGTTGTGTGCTAGCTCGTATGGAGAAAGTTGTGTTGTTTTTTTCCTGTGGTAATGGAAGTTGTTTTCAGCCAAAAGGTAAAGTTGATCGATATCTTTGTACATTTGAGTAGAACATTTGTTCTCTAGACATGTCCTTCATCATGTAAGGGCTGAAGAAACAGAGAGTGAAGAATAAAGTGTGAAACCGCATTGTGTTGTTCACTGTCGTCCATTTTACTCGTGGTGTTGATGTCGGTGCGTGAAAGAGGAGTCTGCGAGTGATTGGAGCCAAAGACAATAGAACAGAGTCATTGCAGAGAGCGTGTACAGTTCGGCGGAGCAGATGGATCACCAGTCTGGTTAGATTGATGCAGGGGGGAGTGACGAGAGGTTCTCGCAGATGCTCGAGGCTCAGAGGAAAGGCAAGACGGACATTTAATCAGAATGCTACTGGCACCAGTAGTATCGGAACTCTTCACTGGCTGCTGAAGATGGGGATGGAGCGCTGATGGGAATGCCCCGAGTGCTGTTATGTCAGTTCTTGAATCAAATTAAGTCAAATCATTAACACAAACTACGCAATTGGCAAAGATGAGAAACTACATCTAACTTCTCTCTACAATGTGTTACGACATAAACAGCAGGACAAAAGAAAATGATGAAACTGTGAAGTACATTCACTATCTGAGCTACACAGTTGCATCTGGGTTTCATAACTGCAGCAATTTTCTAAAAATGTAATACTTTGAAAAATGCACGTTTATCAGAAATTAAACACAGAAATCACAAATCTCTGCATACTGTTTTGTAAAGTAATAGTTTTCACAAACAGTTTCTCCTATAAATAATAATACATGCATTATAGAAGAAAAGTGATCAACAATAACAAGTATACTCATTTAACCCCGGATGTTTAGCTCTGGATAACATATTAAAACAATATCTAGTAAGTGTTCAGCTTCAACTCATAATTCACTATCAACAGGTCAGCCACCAGAAAAGTGCTGTCGACTACAATTAAAAATGTCCCTCCCCTACCTTCCCTGCTCTAGACAATTCTGATTTGAGTTGATTCAAGAACTGATATCAAAGCATTCAGGATATTCCCATAAGCACTCCATCCCCATCTTGAGCAGCCAGCGCAGAGTTCCGATACTAATGGTGCCAGTAACATTTTGATTATACGTATGTCTTGCCTTCCTCCGAGTGTCGAGTATCAGCCAAATCTCATCACTCCTCGCTGCATCACTCTCAACAGACCGTAGTAATCCATTTGCTCCTCGGAATTGTAAAAATTCTCCTACAGAGCCCTAACCACGTGTGTCTTATAATGCATCAATATTCCACCAAACTATGCACAGCCAGTCAGTCTGTCCGCCTGCTCATTTCCCAAAACATCGGTATTCCTGGAGAGAAAATCCAAACAATTCTCCTCATCTGTACGAAGATGCTAATCTATACAAAGCATGCCTGCCCTCACCTTCCTCAGCATGCTTTCTAAGTAAGTTACAATCAGGATATGTGTGTTTGCTGTGTTCTCTCTCTAACCAGCGGAAAGCTGCATGGACAATTCTCATCAGCTCAGCTCTAGAACCTTTTCATGCTTGTGGAATGTTGTTTCTTCTTTTTACTTGGATTTCCCCTCTAGTATTTAATACAATATACTGTGACCACACTAAACTAGCATCTTTGTGTGTATTTTAGCCAACGTCATTAAATATATGCTCTTAAATCCTTCTTTTACTAAATCCAACCCTTTAATCTCCCCCCACCCTCACCTTTCCCGCTTTCTTCCTGTGTAAAAAATCCTTACATTCACAATCATCTTATTCCTCACGTTCACTAGCTGTAAACTATGGCAAAAGATTCTGGTAGTTCGTTCATTTCTGGACTTTGTCTTGTTCCAGAACTTAGGTTTTGCAAGTTACATCCATATACACAAACTAAATCTTACAGGAATTCTGTTGTCTGAGTTGTCAAAGATGATTTCCACAAAGGCGCTGATGACTCTGGGCCCAGTGCCTTCATGGAGCAGTGCCTGGCGCTGATCTGGCCGCATATGACTGAACTCATCAGACAGCACAAACTGAATGGCTACAAGATTTTTTAAAAACAAGCAAATAATTTTCAACCATGAAGAAATTAAAGCTTTAAATTACAAAAACTACTGAAGCAGTGGCTCTTAACCTTCCTAATGCTGCGATCCTTTAATACAGTTCCTGATGTTGTGGTGACCCCCAACCATAAAATTATTTTCTTGCTACTTCATAACTTTAATGAATATGTGTTTTGTGATGGTCTTTGGCGACCCCCGTGAAAGGGTCCTTTGACCCAAAAAAAGGTCGCGGCCCACAGGCTAAGAGCCGCTGTACTAAAGGGATTGCTTTTGTTATTTTTAAATACTTAGAAAAGTATACAGGATAATTAACACCACACACTAATGACTTTCTGAAGGTTAGGGGTTCAAATCCTCTTTGAGATGCAATGTTTTCATGATCCTATGATTGTGGTGCATCATAATATTCCCACAGTGGCAGACACAATACTGACCACAAATTTTAAATTAGCATGATATCCCAATACCTTAAGATAGTATGAAAATTAAGTCCATTATCTAACCATTCTTTGTCATTTTACTTAAAAAACATAATTACATTAAATGAAAAACGTATTGGGTATGTTAAAAATCATTGGACTATTATATGTGCTACTCAGGTAAATAAAGAAAAGTGATTTTAGCATTAAACTTACCGTAAAAGAAATTACTTTTTCCAGATCCATTTCTTCCAACTGTAGGAGAAAAAGACACTTTTAAATATCTGTATATACTGTATACAATTTTGCAGACTCTGCCACAATGTAACCAAAATAAATCATTGTACCCGGGGTGAGGTGGAGGGAATTCCATAACATACAGTAAAAAAGCTGGAACTGTTCCCTTTGTTTGTGACACAGGCCACCAACACCACACACCTTCTTCTCCATTTATGACCTCAGCGACTTACGACCATCCATCCACACTTATGGCATATAAAAATAAATAATAAAACAGTAAAAAAAAAATAAAAAACAATAACTACATTGGTAGGTTACTGGAATTGACATAAAAGCATAAATATTATAGATTTTTCACACAACATTAAATAACTATACATTCATAGACTGCATTTTTGTGTTTTATGCACAATGTTTATAACCCATTTGAAAAAAAAAAAAAAAATAGTGTTGACAAATATAAATTCCATTTACAACCTTAGTTAGAACGCAACTCGGTCGTACCCCAAGGAGACCATGTAAATGAATAATCTCTGGTCACACACGACGTGTTAATTGGAACAGAAAAGGGTTTAAGTTAGACTGAAAACCTATAGATCATGTAGATGTCATGCTGGAGAACAAACCAATAAAAGTAACAGACTATTTCACCTGTTTGGGTAGTAATTTTGACTCACAAGGAGATACAACAAAGGAAATTATGATACCGCATTGGCAAAGCAATAAAATTCTCTAAAAGCAAGGAGATACAACAAAGGAAATTATGATACACATTGGCAAAGCAATAAAATTCTCTAAAAGCAAGGAGATACAACAAAGGAAATTATGATACACATTGGCAAAGCAATAAAATTCTCTAAAAGCAAGGAGATACAACAAAGGAAATTATGATACACATTGGCAAAGCAATAAAATTCTCTAAAAGCCTTAACAAAATATAGAGCTCCAAAGTTATATAGCTTTAAGACCAAACTATGAATCTTCAATTCTATATTATAATTCTAGCATATGCCAGCAAAAGTTGGAGAACTACCAAAGATATGGAACGAAAGTTGAATGTATTTGAAAAAAAAAATGTCTGAGAAAATCATGAACATAAAATGGAAGGGAGGGGGGGGGGGGAGGAACTGATGATGATCAACTAAAACCAGTACTAATGAACTATAAACATTCATTAATCGGTGTCTGCGCAGAACAGAGGGAATTATATGGTATGATGGAATCACTAATATTCAGCTTTGGGAGAGAACTAAATAGGATAGGGCACATGTTGAAAAAAAAAAAAAAAAAAAACTGAGAACAATATAACTAGAGTGACACTGCACTGGAACCCACAGGGGCATAGAAATAAAGGCAGCCCAAAACTTACCAGATGGAATCTAGAGAGTGAAGTTAAAAGGATGGAGACAACATGGGATAAGCTGCATGGAACAATAAAGGACATGATGACTTGGTGTGAGCTGATTGGAAGGCCTATGCTCCACCCGAGGCTAAAAAGGCAGAAAAAGCTCATCACCCATAAGAGCGACAGCAGCCAATTTATCAGCCTGCTCATTATTCAGCATATTATAAAATTCTGGGTAGATCTGATCCTGATATGAGTCTTATTAAGTGACACGAGCCACTCCATGTGTAGGACACCAGTCTCTACTTCTTAAAGCATGCTCTGTGAGACCATTACAATTACAGCATGTCGGTCTGTACTACACACCAGCCATCGGAAAGCTGCTCTTATTGCCACCACCCACATTCTCATGCTTGATGCGATGACAGTATACAAATGGCTATCCATCCACCTGGGAGTGGGGGCCAAGGACACCGTTAGCTCACAGCCTCTAATGTGAAATCACTTTAGTGGTAAATTGAAATAACCGAATAGAAGAAAAAAAAAAAAAAACACTCACCAATGACATTATGCTTTGGACTAAATGGTTCAACCACAGTCTGATCTCTATAGCTTCTGAAACCTTGAATGATAACCTGTTGAATTGTTTTTAAAAATGTTCAGATATATATACACACTCACACATACATATATAGACAAAATCCCCCCCCCCCCTCCCCCACAAATCTAGTGTGGCCTCAGAGATGTGGCGTTACAGAAGAATGCAGAAAATATCACATGAGTAATGTAAATGTCCAGAGCAGTCTTTTACATCTGGTTGTCCACACACAAATTTAAGAGGCCCATGATATCATTTACCACACACAAATTTAAGAGGCCCCATGATATCATTTACCACACACAAATTTAAGGGATCCATGATATCATTTACCACACAAAAAGGAGTCTTTAAGATTTACCCACACATGATATCATTTACCACACACAAATTTAAGAGGTCCATGATATCATTTACCACACACAAATTTAAGGGGTCCATGATATCATTTACCACACACAAATTTAAGGGGTCCATGATATCATTTACCACACACAAATTTAAGGGGTCCATGATATCATTTACCACACACAAATTTAAGGGGTCCATGATATCATTTACCACACACAAATTTAAGGGGTCCACGATATCATTTACCACACAAATTAAAGGAGACTATAATATCATTTACCACATAAATTTAAGGGGTCTATAATATCATTTACCACACACAAATTTAAGGAGTCTATAATATCATTTACCACACACAAATTTAAGGGGTCCATGATATCATCTACCACACACAAATTTAAGGAGTCCATGATATCATTTACCACACAAATTTAAGGAGTCTATAATATCATTTACCACACACAAATTTAAGGGGTCCATGATATCATTTACCACACACAAATTTAAGGAGTCCATGATATCATTTACCACACACAAATTTAAGGAGTCTATAATATCATTTACCACACACAAATTTAAGGGGTCCATGATATCATTTACCACACATACAAAATAATAATTTTTGTTTAGAAAGGGAAAAACCTCAACCTCAAGTTTAAATTTCCCGTTTTTGTGTGTGTAAATTTGACTTAAAAAGTGGGAGATTTGTGGCTGTCAGAAATATAATAGGGTCTGCAGGTCTTAGCTAACTGGGAAGCACTGCTTTAGAAAAAACCTAACTCATTAAGATAACATGTGCTGAGATAGGAGAAAAGTGTGTAAAGCTTCACCCCAAGAGGTTGTGTCTTATTTTAGGGCATATCGACCTGTGTGAAACTTGAGGAGTTGCACCTGAATATTCGTAAGTATTAAATCAGGGTTAGAGTTAAATGTTGCAAGCTTGTATCTAGGTTTAATTTCTTTTGCACAGTGTGCAGATGTTCTAGTGCTCTGAAAGCTCCTTCTGGCCTTTTAAAAAAAATATCTCGGCTATCTTCTGAATAACGGTCCCAATTATCGAGGCCAAAAATATACCCTAACAGGGCCTCAGTCACATGTCAATTGCCGACTTCCGGGGACTATACCGCCACCGCCGAGAGCATCTCCCACGCCGCTAAGTGCGGCGTGGATTGGGGCTAAACCAGATGGCTGGGACTCATGAGCAAATAAAACGAAGGAAGCTGCAGGAGATGCGGGAGCTGCTTCTCTTGAGTCCCAACCATCTAGTTTAGCCTCAATGGGAGATACTCTCGGCGGTGGCGGTAGTCGCCGGAAGTGCGCAATTAAAGTCACTGGAAGTCCGCAGTTGACACGTGACTGAGGCACTGTTAGGGTTATTTTCGGCCTTGATAATTTGGGACCGTTATTCGGAAGATAGCCAATTTCTCTATCCTCCCTCTTTCTACACTGCTACCAGAACATATGCATGGTTCCATCAAATGAAATGAGGTCTCACCACAACAATGAAGATAAAATTCTCAGTTGATTGTTTGATTTTCAGTATCTTTTGTCTTTTCCACACGGAATGTTACAATTAATTATGGTGACCTCTAATCTGATTAGTAATCTTACTTTACTTTTTACTTTTTCCTTCCACGTATGCCGCTAAGCGTTGTGGGGTGATGCAAGTTCCTGTCATAAGCAAGGCGGGCAGCATCTGATGTTCTGAGGTCATGCTTTTGGCAGGTTTCGGAGACCCCGTCAATCCACCGTTTCCTTGGTCTTCCTCTTGCCTTATATCCTGAGCTTCTTTGGTTGAAAATTTGTGATGTTATTTGATCATTTTTCATCCTGGTTAGATGTCCAAACCATTTCATTCTTTGATGTTCTATGTAGTCTAAACATGGCGTAGTTTTGACAGTGTTTCTAATGTCTATATTCTTTATCCTGTCTAGTCTGGTCTTGCTCGCTGCTTTTCTTAGACATTTCATTTCACAGGCTTCTATTTTTCTTTCATGGGTCTTGTTGATTGTCCATGTTTGGCAC